AATATATTATAGTTAATATACCTTACTAGCTCTTTTTATTATAATAAGATTATATAACTTTCTTTTTTTAATTTACTAAATGCTTAAAGTTTATATTAATTTAAAAGGTCTTAATATACTTAAAAAGCTTTATTTACTTTTTATAAAAAAGTATAATAAGTATATTTTTATTATTATTATAAAATAGCTAAATATATTAAAATAATATATTAATAATATATTTATAATAAATTATATATAATTTATATAATTTAAATCCTTTTTTATTTTTAAATACTTATACTAAGCGCTTAGCCTACTAGACTTAAATAGCTAATATATTTTTTAATAATATTTAAGTATAGCTATAAGCTAATTATTTATAATAAGGCTTAAATAAAGATTAGCTAATATTTTTTTACTATATTATTATAATAAGCACTAAATGCCTTAAAACTGCTTTTAATTACTTAAAAAAAATATATTAATAATATATAAGTAATATATTAATAATAAATTATTAATAACTTACTTAATATAATATAATTTATATTATTTAAATTAATTATTTACTATAGCTAAGTAATAAAATATTAAGGCATTTTTAATAATAATAGTAAAGGATATATATAAGTATTATAAGAAAATATAGTAAAAGAGAGCTTATTTTAATTATAAAAAATAAAAAAGTAGTAAATAATATTATACTTAAGTTATTTAATATTACCTTTTTTAAATAAAATATATATTATTACTAGTAATATATTAATAATAAGTTATTAATATATTATATATATATTATATAAACTTACTATATATCTTCCTTTACTAAGTATTATAATTAATTATAATATATATTTTTAATATTAAAAGGTTATTATTAGTTTATAAGCTATTTATAAAAAGCTTTTATATAATAAGTATATATAGCTAGTATTTTAGCTTAATAGGCATTTTATAATAATATAAAGCACTTATATAATTAATATATTATATAAATATATTTTTTATAATAGTAATAAACTATAATTTATTAATAAACTATTTATAATATATTATAATAAGATTACTTATATTTTTTATAAAATAAATAATTTATAATTAGTAAATATTATTTTATATATTTTAATTATACTTATAAGCCTTTTTTTTATTATAATTAGCTAGAATTATATATAACTAATTATAAATATATAATATATTAATAAACTATTACTAATTTATTATATAGCTATTACTAATATATTTATATACTTAAATACTTTTTATTAATAACTTAATTAAGATAGCTTTATTTAATACTTTTACTAGGTTACTTAATACTCTTTTATAACTTTTAAATAGTAAAAGTTATATAATAAAAGGTTAAGATATTAGTAAACTTTTATACTTATATAATAAAATTTATAATATATTATTAAAACTAAGTTTAAAAGCTATAATATACTTTTATAACTAGGTTTTTTTATATTAAAATAATACTAAATTTATAATATATTAATAATTTATTATAAATATATTATTAATATATTATACTTATATTATTTTAAGGCTATTATTATTAAGCTTTAATAAGCTAATTTAAAAATATTAAATAAACTATGCCTAATTTTAATATAATTAGCTATTTAAATATATATATTAAGTATATAATCTTATTTACTATAATAATATTAACTTATTAACTATAGTAATTAAACTAAATTAAATTAAATAATAATAAAATATAGTTTAATACCTTTATTTTACTAAATAGCTTTAAAAAGCTATTAAGTTATTAAAATTCTTATATAATATATTAATAATTTATTATTAATAAATAATAAATGCATTTTACTTATATAATAGCTTTTTTTTATTATTATTATAATAAAAAGCCTTAAAAGCTAAATATTAAGTAAAATTTTAAACTTATTATTATTAAAAAAAGGACTAGTAAAAGCTTAAAATAAATTTATTATAAATATATTTATAATATATTTATAATAAACTTATAGGATTTTATAAAGGATATATTTATTTTAGCTTTAGTATTATATAAAAAAAGTATTTAACTTTAATATAAAAGCTAATATAACTTATGCTTTACTTTTTAAAAATTTTAGCTAATTAAATTATAAGAAGTATAGGTTATATAAGGTTTTTTAATATAGTAAAAAAATTAAAAAAGTGGAGCATAGGTTATATTAGACCAGGGTGTATAGGTTATCTGAGGTAGCACCTCTTTCCATCTGGCGTGTGTCATGTCTCGACCGATGCAAGCGACCCCTTGACAAGAGTGGAGAGACGGCTTCTGTTTTCAATCATGCATCGTATGCAAGCGTATCTATATACGGACAAACGGAGGGTCAGTTCGACTCGGCTAAATCAACGACAAGACGAACGGGGCCAGCTCGGAGCTGCAGCTGGATAGGGCATACTGCAGCTCCCGGCTGTCAGGGCCGGTCCAGACGGCTTCCTGCCCGGGGAGCCCACTTGGTTCGACGCCTCCATTTGAAGTGGTATCACGAATACGGCCGGTACCAGAATATGTATGTACAAGTAATATGTCAACGATGCCGTCTGCAGTTTGCCTCGTGCTGGTTTTGTATTGGCAGCTAGCGTGGACAATCAATGTCCCCCAGCCAGCATCTTCGACCTCGACTCTTTGATCCAGACACTGCTTTTGGCGAAGGCAGCAGTAGATCTGTTTCATCGGCAGTGAGCTCGACAAAGGTGTGTTTCTTTTGTTCATCACGTCGTATCAAGCTAACTACCCTTAGTGTGTCAACCCCAGGACCAGCACTAGGAAGGGGATGCTCTAGACGGCGCAGATGGCTCCTCTCTGGCACTGCACTTCTTCATAAAAGAGGAACGAGGAACTCTCCCGCCGAGAAGACGTTCAGTAATATATTGAACGGCCATTGTAAAGATCTATACGACTTTCGATGCCGAGGCTGTATCCACTGTACAACCAAATTGTAACAATCTCAACCCTTCTGCGCGCTGGCCAGGCTTTCTAGTGCCGTCCAGCTGAGTTCGATCCCTGTATCCATGTGGCATGCTGTCCCACCAGCCGGGGGATGGATAGTTCTCACTTCACAGCTGAAAGAAGTCCCAACAGTACCAAGACCCTCTAGTCTCCGGACAGGTATTCCATTTAAGGGCAAGGTAAAGACTTGCAGTGCCGGACAGAAATCTTGTGGAGTTGATGTAGTAGCGTGAACCGGTTGACTCGATTCTTATGGCTGAGTGAAGGCTCAAGGCCATGCAAGGGGGGGCAACCTCTTTCGGATGCCATGTGTCAGTTTTGGCGTCAGGGGCTCTTCTACAGCAGCACTTACTAGTACTTGCATACTCTGTTACTACAAGCTTGACCAGAAATCTTCACGATCATCAACAGGTCGATCCTGTGGCATCTCGCGTAAATGGCTCCGCAAGACGAGGGATACGCAACTCCACACTGCTCGATCTCGCGTATTGTAATGGACATGGCAGCGCCAAGGGGTGTGTTTCCTTGGAAAGCCCACATTAATAACCAGCGGCCGCCACTCGGTGAATGCGGCTGGGATTTTCTTTCCCCAGAGCTGTTGGTTGACCTTGATGGTCACAACTTTCCGGATTGCGTTGTCCAACTCTGATTCCGCTTCTCCATCCGACGACGAGAGAACCTTGTCTTCCTTCAACAGCGGAGATGGCTTCGACATCGGATATCCAGCTGGCATCTGTGGCTGCTGGGTTTACGCTTGGGTTCGGCTTCTTGACTGTCTGGAAAGCGATTCAGCAAACCGTGAGAAACCGACGACCATGGAAGAGCCCGTACATCTACATGGTTTGGGGAGAGATTGCGGCCAACCTTAGCCTCGGCATCATTGGATGGGTATTCCTCGACGGCATCATAGGACCCTCGTAAGTGCTGAGCGAACTTTTTGAGTCAATACGACCGGACAAAACATCATACGCTTCACTACCGATACCCTTATTCAAACTCCTCGCAATCAGGTTTGGTTGGAAGCTGCAAGCTGCTAACACGACATCACAGGCTGCCCGTTCTGTTCTTCTTCTTGGTCTTATGGGTATTTGAGATCCAACTTCTCATGCAAATCATCGTCAACCGAATTGCAATTATTGCCGAGAACGACAACACAGTATGGAGGTTGAAATGGGGAACCGCGGGTGTGATTACCTGCATCAACATTGCAGTCTTTTGCATTTGGATCCCAGCACATACTGAAACCCCAGTCAGCGAACTGTGAGTGTCATGTGTCGCTATCTAAGTCAAATTGCTTGATGACTGACCAACTTTTGTGATGGCAGCTATGTTCAAATCAACGAGGTGTGGGATCGCATTTCCAAGATCCTTATCCTAATTGTCGACGCCGGCCTCAACTACTACTTCTTGCGTACGGTCAAGCAGCGCCTCGTCATGCAGCACGGATTGAGCAAATATGCCCCCCTGGTCAGCTTCAATGCTAAGCTGATGGTGGTTTCCATCCTGATGGACGTAAGCTGACACACTCCCAAATCCCGATAATAGCCTTCCTTTCTAACGAATGAACCAAACAGGCTATGCTTATCGGTCTCATGTCGCTGCCGAACCAAGTCGTATATATCCAGTTCCACCCCGTCACTTACATGGTCAAATTGAACATTGAGATGGAAATGGCAGAACTCATCACCAAACTTGCAAAGGGCGAAAACTCTGACATGAAGCAACCGTCCACATCTGGCCACAGGACGCAAGCCCATGAAGAAGAGGAGGAGCAAGACCAGACTCCCCACCATTACAGGATGCAGTCTATCCATAGGTCCAAGCCTTCAGCCGAGGATTCTTCATCCATCGACGATGACATGGGCCAGTTTGACGAATCCAAAGCTGCCAGCACTCGCGGGATCTTGGAAGGAGGCATTCAAGTGGAAACGGTCATTTCTTCTCGGACGTCTCGTAATTCGAGGATTGCTAATGGTGGAGCAATGGGTATGAATCGGGGCTCGGATGACGAGCTGCCTTTGTCGTATCCTGTGAGGTGACAAGAGTGAAGGTATGGAGGAAGGCGGATTATGATGTGGTTATAATGAAGTTACTGTGCCTTTAAAGCATGGTCTATAGATACCCAGAAATGAACTTTGACAATACTTTGGAAGACTGCGACGAGGGTCTAACTTCTGGGATGTAAGTCGAATTGAGCACCTCGACAAGTCTCTGATACAAAGGCGAGTTTTCGCGTCCTGTATAGGCGGAGACACAAGGAGCTGAATGTAGACCATAGGCTACTGCTTCCTGCAGAATGTAGGAGTAGATGTACTAGGTAGGTCTTGATGGGATTCATCTATCTGATGCATCTTATGAAATCATGGGTCTCTTCAACTGGTGCCCAACTGCGTCACTAGTTGTTTATGTGAGGTAGCGATCAACTCTTCAGGCTATCTACATACCTATACGATCACCGTAGGTGCATTTACAAGCCTACAAACCTGAAGAGCCCACTCAAACCACCATGAAGCCCACATACCATCTGCCCTCCAACTTTGGCACTCTCCACCCCCTGCAGGACCGTTTCATATGGGTATCATCATCATTGACTGTTATGAGTATATGCAAATCCTTAGTTAGCTTGTAGGGACGCCACCTTTAATCCCTCGTGACCAGATATATCGCAATTACAAGACCGTGTTTGAGATCAAAAGAACAAAAGTCGTGAGCGGAGCGCTGTGCATCTGGACAAAGCTTCCAGGGCTCGACAATATGGGTGCTGAGGCTTATGTTTCGTTCAACCGCAGATGCAAGGACATCTACAAGCTTCGTATCGTCGAGACGAGCGCCATTGTGTATCAGCATACAATGATTAAAGCTGCCCTAAAAGTCAAGCTGGTTTCTCTAAATCAGATCATGAGGGCCGTTAATAATTGTTCTGAACGACGTGGCAATTCTACGATGACGAAGAGAGAAGGGGCTCTGAGGGGGTTGGATTGGTTGTCCTTGGTCTTATGGGCCATGTCCCTACATCGATGTCATTGTTGGTGAGATGGAACAAGAGTGGACACTTTCCGTTAGCAACATGAACGCGGTACCATCTTGGATCATGCAAGAATATCTCAAGTTGACTTGAACTCTTCTCTGAATGGCCAACAGCATGACAATCGACAGTGTAAGTGAGGTATTCTATGACTGACACCGTGCATATGTACAGTGTGTATTTATATATCACACAGTCTATCTATCACATAATGCGTCATCTTCTCCAGCAATCTGGCACCTCCCAAGATGACCGAATACTCGCCATATGGCTCAGCCTCAGCGTCAATCAATCATGACGAAGATAGGCTTCTCTGTCCTCTTTAACGCCCCAGCATGAACTCGCAATGCCGCAACATTCCTATTCATGCGTGGCCTGTGCCAGGCGCAAGGTCAAGTGCGACAGGCTGGAGCCGTGCTCGAGCTGCTGCAAATCACGAGCTGCTTGCATCTATCGGGCCCCCGTACCGTCACAGAGGCACCGGAGACGCTTGACGCAGGGCGATCTTCTGTCTAGAGTTCGTGAGCTGGAATCGATCCTCGACAGCCATGGGATCCCGTTTGAAGCTCTGGGCAATTCGTGGATCCGCTCTCACTGGGAGGACAAGCTTGTTGGAGGCCCCGAGACTCGGACAGTCCCTGAACCCACGGCTTCCGTCGACAGCGCCACAGTAGAATCTGAGGACCATCTAGCAGCCCAAGTAGATGATGGGAGCTCCAGACACGATGCCCTGCTTGCATCAGGCGAACAGGCTGGGGCAGCATGGCTTTGGTCTAGCCTCCCTGAAGTTGTGCGTTGTTCCTTAATGTTGCTCATCTATGCGTCTCTGCTAAGAATATCGGAAGCTGAAAACTCCGCCAATCTCACAACTTGCTCAACATGACGAGAGTAAAGAAGACGACATGTCTACACACGCAGGTGCAGCTGTCACTACGCCGTCTCTGCTGCTCTCTCCCTATCCTCTATGTACGGCTCCGGAGCAGTACGAGTTACACCCTGATCCCAAGCACGTTTTCAAGCTTTGGCAAGCTTTTGCAGACAACGTCAACCCATTGACCAAATTTATTCACGCACCTACTCTTCAGCAGAAGATCCTCGAGACAGCTTGGACGGTGGAAACAGTAGCAAAGCCGCTCGAGGCCACCATGTTCGCCGTGTACGCGCTGGCCGTTGCTTCGATGAAGCCAGCCATCTGCAGAGACGTATTCGGAGAAACGAGGTCGGTGCTCATGAACCGATATCGCATGGGAGCGTTGCGAGCCCTGTCTGGCACCAATCTGTTCGCAACCCGGGACCTACATGTTTTACAAGCTTTGACCCTCATCATAGTAGGTCAAATCTACGTCGTATAGTAGCGATGAAGACGCAGCTAACGGCCATTCACTCCATCTCGAAGATGATAGATCCCCAGTCCGACTTTGCCATCACGGCAGTCGCAGTGGCTATGCGTATCGCTCACAGACTGGGCCTGCACCGCGTCGCCAAAGATCCTCATACGCCCTTCTTCGAGCAGGAGATGCAGGTCCGCTTGTGGTGGTACATCCGCGGCCTCAACTCGCGCGTCCGCCGGGGCATGGGACTGCTGTCGACCGTCGACGATCTCGGTGATGTGCGTCTCCCCATGAATGTCAACGATGCGGACCTGCATCCCCTCATGGAGAAGCCGCCGGCCGTCCAGCACACGGCGGCCACGGAGATGGTTTACTGTCTCATGAAATACGATTTGTGGAAGTTTGTGCGAAAATCATCCCAGTTCTCTGGCGGTCTCGATCCTAGGGAAAAGGCAGCCGAATTCATCACATCAACAAGCGCTGAGAGCATGGCAAAGAAGAAAATGGTGCTTGGTGAGGTGGACCGTATGCTCCAGGAAAAGTATCTCGCCCACCTCGACCCGAGCATACCTTTGCACCAACTCTCGGCAGCCCTGGCGGGCCTAACCATCCATAATCAACGGTTTTTGATGTTCCACCCCCGCAATCAGCCCGAGGGAGGTCGATACATGTCCCAGGTTGATCAGGATCTCGTCTTTGAGAGCAGTGTTACGCTGCTGGAGCTGAATCTTGAAGTGCGCAACAGCAGCTTCTCGACCAAGCTGGTGGACCACATGATATGTCGGACCCAAGTGGATGCCTTTGTGCACATGGTGAGTGAGCTTCGGCATAGGACGAGCGGGCCGCTGGTCGAGACTGCCTGGACTCTAGTCGAAGAGGTCTACGGACAACAATCGTTGATGCCGCCATCTGACGATGAGTTCTTTGCTGAACTGGCCAATTTAATTCTACGAGCCTGGGAGACTCGGTACAAAGCATTCGATCAAGTCGCAGTTGTGCCCAAGTTTATTGAGACATTGCAGGCAGCGAGGCAACGAGCAGAGACGACGGAGGGCCCAGCGGCGGAGGGGGAGGAACTGCAGACAGTGCGCATGGGTGATCTCATCCAGGATGAGGCTGTGGACTGGACATACTGGAATGAGTTGCTTCAGCCTTAAGAGGATGGACGTTGAATCTCGCAGCAATAGTCGCAGGACTCACCGCAATCACTTATACCCCGACAGAAGAGTTTCTTACCAATGGCTGCACCGCGTTGTTGCGTGCTCTCGGGTCTCCTCGTCCGAATGGGGTAATACGGACCCGAGGTGGAACCAAAGGCGGCAGCTCTCGCGGGGTTCGGAGTTGAGAAAGGGGGGGAGCTGCCTTGGGCTGCCGACTGGGTCCCGGCCTCCATCGCTGGATTGAGGCACACACGTCCGTCTCGCCCGAGCCTCTCTATGGAAGTGCCTATACGTTAAATACGACGCAAGACGCTTCGAAGAACATGAAATACCCAATATTCAGCTCAAAGTGACTAACTACGAACATGGCGCAAACCAATCTGCCCAGCTACTATGCGCGAGGTCACTCCGACTACACCATCGCAACCCATCTTCGACGCAAGGCGGAGACAGATGCCGCCTTTCTACTACCCTACATCAAGTCGACGGACCACATTCTTGATGTAGGCTGCGGGCCGGGAACCATTACGACAAGCCTGGCCAAGTATGCCAACCAAGGCACGACAATCGGTGTCGATATCTCGCCCGACGTGCTACAAAAGGCAAAGGCACTGGCAGAGGAATCCGGCGTCCCCAGCCAAGGGCCAGGATTCGTCATCTTCGAAGAGGGCAACGTTGTCGACGGCCTTCCCTATCCCGACAACACGTTCGATGTCGTCTTCAGCTCCCAGGTCATTGGCCATCTCCCGCCGCCGGACATACCACTCCGGGCCCTGACCGAGATGCGGCGGGCCCTGAAGCCGGGCGGAATCCTCGCCACCCGCGACGGCATGGGTCACCACTTTTACCCGCAGAGCTTGAACCTCGATCGGCTGTGGGGAGAGAACCAGCTCCGGGCGTCTCGCCGAGGTGCCCCTGAGGCGGATCCTACCGCGACGATGATGCCGGCGCTGCTTCGGGGTGCCGGGTTCGACGCCGATGGGGGAAAGGTCCGCGTTGGAGCTGCGGCTTCTGTGTCCTCGGGCCCGGAGGCTCGTCAGCGGCTGGCCTGGCGGGCCGAGGGTCAGCTGCAAAAAGGGGATCCGTTCTACCAGACTTGGGTGGATGCTGGCATATCCGAGGAGGAGATCCAACAGACTTTGGATGCTATAAGAAAGTGGGCTGCGACTGATGATGCCTGGCTGGTAATTCTGCAGTCTGAAATGCTCGCATGGAAGTAGCCTACAGCCAGCCGGAAAGCACAAGGACAAGAGTCAAACGAGTATCGAGTCATCTCAACAGCAAGGGGGCAATACACCATCTATTTACATCGTCACCATGTGTCGCTATGTACAGCATCATCTAGGCGAGCCTTGCCAGAGATTTGGTGAATATATACAGGGCTTCGTGAGCCAAAACCTCTTAACACCGCCCAAGTCCCCATCCACCCCTCAATAATCCTTTCTACGCTGCAATCGACCAGCTAAAGTTCGTAATCAGGGACCCATCGCCATCATGCCCACCAAACGCCTGCCACAGATCCAAACACATGTCAATAGACTGCTCGCTGCTCGTGTTCTCATCCGCAACAATCGCCTGCCTCGTCACCCCGTTGTGCGTCATGGTAATGACCTTTGCGCAGAGGCTGTTGTCCTGCGCCTCGCCAAACCGGTCAAAGATGCCCGAGGGGATCGCGACGAGGGGCATGCTGGCGGGGACCTTGTCGGCGAAGAAGGTGCTGAGGCCGCAGGCGCCAAAGTCGTAGAAGATCTGGCGGCAGTTGGCGGCGGAGCCGAACATGAAGATGGAGCCGGGGGTGCCGGAGCCGGAGATGGCGGCGGCGGCCTTCTTCTCGGCAGCAGGCTGGGTTTCGCTGATGGGGGAGGCGGAGGCTGTGAGAGCCAGGGAGAGGGTTGTGATGGAGATGGAGAACTTCATTGTTGTGGTATTGCGGGAGAGGATTGCTTGGGAGTGTCTTTGGTTGCTTCTGTCAATGGTCTTGATGCGACTTACACCCGAGATGCGGCCTTGTCTTATATACACCACGGCCTCCCCCCGTTCCCTCATAGCCCAGCCGGTCATGATGGCTTCATGCTCGGTCAGTCGAACATGCACTGACTAAAATCTCACAAGCCTCTCATGACAATTATCCCGAAGGGCAGTCTTATCCTCAAATTCGCAGGGTTCGCCCCCGAGCCTTCTCTGATCCCTGCATCACAGGACAAGACTCCTCACCAGGCTCGACCTAAACCCTCTACTACTATAAAGGACTAGAACTACGAGATACCGACAAACCTGGGCCTCAAGAGCTTCTCTGTTCGCATCTCCACAGTCAGCTCCCCATTCCACAAATCGCAGCCACGCTCTTTGACCAACAAGGCAGGTCGGGATAGGACCCCTGGCTAGCTTGCTCTTGAAGTTCTGTGCACAGGCGATCCCGAAGCTGCCTATTCCAGTCATGACAGATTCCAAAGACAAGGCTCTATTCTAAAGTGGAAGCTTACTTCCAATACGAAGCAGAATTATTTTTCCGTCGATTGAGATACATGGTATAGACGGGGAGTGGGCCGCATGATGAGAAGCAGGCATCACATACGAGCGTGGGCTGACTAGGTTTAGGCAAGGTGATTTATCACCTCTCTGCTACAGCTCAAGCTCAAGGTATTTTTCATAGCCTTGGGTATAGCATCAAGGTTATGAGCTTCTCAAAAGTGGCTCACTGGCAGCAGGTTGTCGAAACTTGATCCGGCATCAATCTGAGCTATACATACAATTCATACAATCTTGTCATATCCAACAAGTCCTAGCATTACATCAACACTTTCCCCCGTCCTTCCCCCACCCCCCCTTTAAAGAGCAACCATCAACGCAACAACAGCCAAAAGCAGCGTCCCCCCTAGCCTCGCCGCCGAAGAGGAATCCGCCTGCTGCGTCGAACCCTCCAGAATCTGCGCAGGCTCATACGTATTCGGCAAGCTGTCATTCGTCGTCCCATTCCAGCAATACCTCGCAAAGCAGTCCCTGCACTTTGCAGGAACCGCCGTCCTCGTCCGGATGAGGCTCCGTGAGAGGATCGCGCAGCCAACGCACGTCGGCCAGTTCGGGTCGACGGTGCCGTTGCCCATGGTAGCCATGTTGTATCCGTTCTGTATGATCTGGTTGCGCTCCGCGTCGCTGTACTCCAGGTCAAATGTCGACACGTTGGAGTGGAACGAGTAAGGGGCGTTGGGCATGTACACGATGAGCGGCCCTGAGGGCGTGTTGCTCCCGTTGCTGCAGCCGAAGAACGTGGGCCGCTGGTTCAGGCCGAGATTGACAAAGGTGTTTTGATCGGGAACGTCTGGGAACCTGCTGTCGTTGGATGACACCCTTGCCTCTGACCGGTTGAAGGTGGCCACCATGGAGGTGCCGTTGGGCCACAGCGTCTCCGTGTCGGCAGAACCGTCGACAGCAAAGACAACGTCGACTTCTCTCTCGGCCAGAAGCAGCGGATGCAGAGGAATGTTCTGCAAATCCTCGCCGCCATCGACGAGAGCCAGAACGGTGGTATTTGCATTCACGTTGACGCTGGCGTTGTACCCGAAGAAGGGATTCGGCCAGTTTGCAATGTCTCTGTTCTCCGATCCCACGTTGGCCAGCGACTCGTTGATGGCACGGATGAGGAATTCCGGAACGCCCTCGACTCGCCCAATCTGTAGGAAAGCCTGGTTGAAGAGAGAAGACGACGTGCCCATGACGAAGCCCGCGTTGTCAACTCCGGCAATGCACTCTCCATCACGAGGAATGGAACCATTGGTGAAGTTGGAGCCGACGAATTGGAGCGGCGCAAAGGCTTCCAGGCCTGGGTCGTACGATCCCATTTCCCAGGGGTTGAACTCGAAGATTGTGGAGTTGCTGGCTATCTGAAGCTGGCCCGATGTCCTCTCGATAGCCACGATGAGCGGCATGGGAGCTTGAGCATTCACAAAGTCTGAGTCATTCGATATCGACGAGAAGGTGAATGCTGTTATGAAGAATCAGGACGCTGCATATGCGTGTGCTCTTCGAGGGGAAGTTACATACCAGGTCCTCCATCAGATGGATCGACGAGCTGATAAGACAGAGCTCTGCCCCAATAGTCTGTAATTGTGGTGTTGAAGCCAGCATTGCTTTTGCCGTCGACGTCGTCAAACAGCTGACGGTAGTAACTAATGACAGACTGACCAGATGGCCCTATCGAGAGAGGTTAGCCGGCCACTCACTCACTCATTCAAGGACAAACAACCGGGTCTTACCGTTGATGATGGAGTTGTCAAACTGCCAGAGCGTGCTCAAGAACCCATCCGTGGCCAAGGAGATGGACTCAACCGACGTGAAGTTCTGTACATAGAGACTCCCGACAAGCCAACTCCCACCCGACAATCCGCTGAGATACGTCGCCGACTGCAACAGCCCCCCCAGGTGTCCCGCCTCCGTCGCATTCGTCGACCTGTTGTCAAACGCCGCCAGAGCTCCCGCCCCATTCATCAACGCCCGGTATCCTCCTCCGGAGATGGCAATGGCGACTCTCGGGAGGCCGGTCCCGACATTGGTGAGATTGTCAATGTATCTGCCCGTGTCGAGGCCGCTGATGTTGGCGCGGCTGAGGACGTCCTTGAGGGCCTCGACGGTGTTGTTCGTGCGGAGGGGCAGCCAGTCTGTTTCGTTGCGCGAGAGGCCCGTTGCTGCGCGGATGGTGGGCCGGTTTGCCGGGCATGAGACGCGGGCTGGCGTGTAGCCGTCGGGGGCAACTGGTGCAGCTCTCTGGTCGAGAGGCGATGCTTGTGTGCCGGGAGGATATGAAGCTACGCTCGTCATCAGCGAAGGTGGTGTTACTGCTTTTTGCACCCGTGGCCTACCGAATAACACCAAAGACACAAGGAAACTGAGGAGAATGCGCCAAACGCTGATCATCTTTCCAATACTACCTAGGGAGACGTCAGGGAGGGGTTGGCAATGGCATCAACGAGTTCACTGCGGTTGACTCAATGCTGACGATAAGAGAGACCTGTCAATTGGCTTCTCTGTCTTCCAGGTTGCCTTGAGGTCTACAAAGCTCATCACCTCAAAGATGGAAGTGCTCAATTACAGATCAATGTCATCGAACAGCGAAGTCTGTGCTCTACCTTACTCAAGACGAGTGAGAAGCAACAAGCATTATAAACAGCTGAAGCAGAAAGAAAATAAGGTATTTAGTCTACCAGCCACGGTTTTCAGCTCTCATCGTCTGGAGAATGAAAAAGTCATTGTAACCTTGTAAGAATCTCGTCATTCCATTTCTGAGCTTACGACGACTCAACGCGGCCATCTGACGTCGGCTCCCTTTGAGATCGGTGCGTGTGTGTGTGTGTGTGTCAGATCAGGCCCAATGATGATCATCTAGATGTTTTAGACTGAAGGGACCTTTTGAAAGCTTCATCATGCCCTTGTTATCTTCTCCTTTGGCTGACAGAATAGTAGGTAGGTATCATGAGGAGTGGAACGGAGCTGCGCCACAAGCTTGCCGTCTCCCGCTCGGATCGTCCGGGGCCGCCGCATTCCTGCTGGTTCTGTGCTCCAACAGCATCTATCAGTCAACAGGACAATTTTTTGTCATGAAAAATGCATCTCCATTAAGCTTTTCATTAGCCGAACGCCAGATTCAGCTCCTCATCTGGGATGATTGGACAGACGGCAGAAACCCCAAGATTTGGCTGTATAAGTGTCAGAAGACCGGCTCTTTTTCAGATTTCAGCTCCTCTTGGCAAGGACGACTACTCGATATTTCGATTAGCCAAAGCACGGAAGCTATATCTAATTTCTATGGAAATCTGGATGCACGATCTTTGTCTTTGCCATTGGCAGGAGACTGGGGTGATGAGATGCCTCTATTCCGTCTAGCAAACGAGTTAACCATCTAACATCTCAGTTTCATACAACACACGCTCAACATGCAAAACAGCCCACATATCATGTCCATCGCCCGTCCCTCCTCCTCTTCAAAGGTAGTTCATACCACCGTCAATGCCGAGAACTTGCCCCGTCATGAAGCTCGCCCCGGGACTCGCCACAAACAGAACAGCACTAGCAACCTCCTCCGGCGTCCCATTCCTCTTCACATGCTGCATCACACGAAACTTTTGCGTCAGCTCAGCCTCCTCCGGCGGCGCATAATCCGTCGAGATCGGCCCCGGAGCAACGACATTGACCGTGATCCCCCTGTCACCCAGCTCCTCCGCCCAGGCCAAAGTCAGCGTGTTGAGCGCGCCCTTGGTAGCAGAGTATAGCGTCGCGACTTTGGTTGCCGTGCGAGCAACAACACTGCCGATATTGACGATGCGGCCACCGGGGGAAGCAAGATGAGGCAAGGCGGCAATGGTCAACAAGTGAGGCCCGCGGACGTTGGGATGGAACAGGGCGTCGAACTCCTCGATTGTGGTCTTTGCCGGGCTCTCTTGCATCGTGACGTGTCCCGCGTTGTTGATAAGGATATCAATCTTGCGGCCTGGGAACGCGGCGATGGTGGCGTTGACGATGTCGGTGCCAAAGGTGACGGAGGCTGCGTTACTCTGCACGGCAATGGCCTTTACGCCGACTTCTTTGATCTTGGCGAGGCATTCATTGGCGGCAGTCTTGTTAGAGTTGTAGTGGATGACAATCTATTTCAGAGTTGGGTTCTATGTCAGTCACCAACTCGGGAAAAGATATCACATCTGGGTGAGGCGTAGCAAAATAGGGGGTGATTTTCCATACATCAGCGCCAGCCTTGGCAAGGGCATACGCAGTTGCGAATCCGATGCCGTTGAGCTTGGAGGCTCCGGTGACGATGGCGAGCTTTCCGCTAAAGTCGGTAGACATGATTATGTCGCGTTTTTGGTTGATATTGTTCGACTGGGATTGCAGGACTGATAAAGACGTGCCGTTGAGTCAAATTTTGGGTTACAACAGGAGCTCACGCCTCCCCTTTTATGTGAACCAGACCCCAGCGAGGCCATCTCCATCCTTTCCCAACCTCGATTCGAATCCACTTGCTAATTCTAGCCCTGCCTTCGAGATTTCCAGATACTCTCAATGGTCCTCAACACAAGGAACCACCATTAGAAATCCGGCTATTGATCGTGATGAGAAAAGCCCCCTTCTGACAAATGCGAGTAGGCTATCCATCTCCTTTGTACCCATTGCTACCCACCAAAGTCATCACGGCAGTCACAATAAGATACATATGCGAGTTCATACATATGAGTACCCGTCTGCCTATCGTCCGTGACCTCTCTCTTCTGCTTCTCCTCGCCCTCCCCACAAGCCCAGCACAGTCCCCAGCAGGTAACCAGAATCTCAGGAGACTTATCAGTCCTACAACTCAATTCATCATAAAGCTGTCCCGAGCTTCCAAAAGCCACTGGATCGGCGCTACAGACGCACGAGCAGGGATACCAGAAACCGCTTCCGGAATAGCCGCGTCCTGGCAGCGGGAGCTGGTGGAAGCCAGGCGGACGAGTCGGTTCAGCTGGAGAGGCCTTGATTGGCCGCCAGGGGGAGCTGATTAATGAATCGCAGCAACGTGGGTTCTGACATGATCGAGACTAGAGATAGAAGACTTTAGATGGGAGGGAGTTGTGGTAATCACTTTGTTGGAAGCCGTCCGAGGCGATGTCATCTCACTTCTTGCTGTTGCTACTTAAAGCTCCGTCTTCTCCTCCTATAGCCTCATTAGGCATATGGTCTTCCTCGTCTCGCATACAGAAACTGAAGACACCGAGGACCCCTGAGACTGTGCCGCTGGTCAACCAATTACACTACACGATACTTGTACACCATGCCAACACTCCGGACGGTTCACTTGTACTGAAGCTCTCATACTGACTCCCAAAGGACATCAGCCACAGCAAAGCAATAACCCTCCTCGCCCATCTCAACCAACCAGACTCGAACCCTGGAGCACACCCATACTCCCTGCTTCTTACAAATCACCTATACGAACAGAGTCAACTCGCCTAGGTAGACACAATGGCTCCCAAACAAGACAACGCACCCGAAGGCCCGCATCTGCTCTTCATCAACTCCACCGGCTCAGCCCGCGGCAGGCCCCGAGACGCACAGACGAAGCGCCAGATCCGGCAGCACGTCATGCGTGACATTGGCAAGGCGCGCCGGAAGCCGCCGCGGAACCCGCAGGTGAAGCTGCGAGTGCGGTCCGCGGCAGCAGAATCACAGGCACAAGCAGAAGCAGAAGCACAAGCTGATACATTAATGACGCCTCCATCATCATCAGCAGCAGCAGCAGCAAGGCCAGCTGTATCAGCAACGTCAGGGGCATCAACTTCATCTCCCTCATCTCCTCCTGTCAAAGTGTCCTTCTTACAAGCACAGAGTAATCTTCAAGCTCAGCCTCAATCACATATGCAGCTACAACCGCAGTCTCAATCCAACACATGCGGCACCCCCGTCCACCCCCTCCCGCCTCTCACGCGTCCCTTTTGGGACCAACATCCTCTCGCCATCCTAGAGCACAACTGGGCAATGGACGCCTTCGCAGCATATGGCCTGGCCCTAGCAGTCGCCTGGAACTCGTCCCTCACTAGTAAGCCTCAAGTCTTTTTCTCCTTATCTCACAACCACATCAAGGGTCGCCAAGTAAACAGACGTATTATATATTGACATCTTCTACTCCCAACAACAACAGACTCCCGCAAATCCCGCTTCTGGTTCCCCTTCGCCTTCAAAGCCTCCACCTTCTGCCGCAACTACCTCACCGGCCCCGAGGTCCGCACCGCCATCCACTCCCAGCCCACGGAGAAGAGCATCATCTTTGCCCTGGCCCGCTCTACCGAGATTGTGTCGTGCATCGAGACGAAACTACGGAATCCCGACATTACCGTTGCGACGGCAGACGACGTGATACGCGCCGTCATGGGCTGCATCTGCTACAATGTATGTCGCTCCCCGTTCCATATCCGAAGCCGTAACTGATCTCAAGGGGGTTGGTTTGGTTTCCTAGTACATCATTGCGGACCTGGATCAAGCTCGTGTTCATCTCGACGGCCTCAAACTCATGATCACCATGAGAGGCGGCATCGAAAGCCTCTCTGGAAACCAAGAAACCCTCATGATGCTATTCTGGTATGCCAAACTCCCAACTTCCCCCTCCTCCTACCATTCCTCTTTCTAACACACAAAAATCCCCCAAGGATTGACACAATAGCCTCCCTCCTCTTTGACCAGAAACCCCGCTTCCCACTCCCATCAAAGCTCCTCCCCCCTATCGTCCCCCGTCACCACCACTCCCACGAGATCCTCACCCCCCTACCCTACCACCTCATCAACCTCTGCCCCAGCCACGAAACCCACCATCTCATCGTCGTCTCCGCCCTCCGCGACATCGGCAGCCTCACCGAAGTCATCCAAGCCAAGCACGACGCCCGGGGCGAGGACCTCTGGAAGGAGGAACTCTTCCTCGGCACCCGCCTCAACCCCATCGCCTACCGCCTCCTCGATTCTCCGTCTCATCCGCACGCGAGCATGGACTTGCCCTGCTGCTTCACCGAGGCTCTTCGTCTGGGGGCGCTGCTCTGGATCCTCGGCGTCAAACAAAAGGCGCAAGCGTTCCCGGGATCGCCAGCCCTATACGTCAGCCGCCTGCTGCGCCTCCTGCAAAGCTATAGCGTCAGGAGCCTTGTCTCGACAACGCCCTACTTCATCCCTTTCCAGTTCTGGCTTCTAGTTCTCTGCGCAACCATGTCGGAACTCTCCTTCGAAAGGGACCCTGCCCTGAGAATGATTGCTCAAATGATGAACGAGTATGAATGGGGGTGGGAGCAGGTCATGGCAAACGTAGAGCAACTCCCCTGGATAAGCGGTTTCGAAGCTCATGTCCCTCCTCTGTCTGCCGAGGTTGAGGTGCTGCGAGGCATGGCATGAAAGGTGACAAAAAAACAAGTATGTATGATGAGCGCGTGTACCTGTAGGGAATCTTCTAATCGCAATAGTGACAGAACAGAGTAAAATGAAATATTATGACCCTCTCTTGCCATTTCCACAAACCTTGAACACCAGAGAAACAAGAGACACAACAGAGAGGCATCTCATAGATATAGAATGGAACAAACGGGAAGTGCTTGTGACTATGAAGCCTTCCATGTCGCCGAATCCAGCTCGTACGTTTCCGCAACCGGCCCAGACTGCCATCCAGCCCCGTACGTATTCGGCGTTGCAGGGGAGACCGTCGCAGTCCCCTGTTGATGCCCATGATACGGCGAGTGAGGCGGTTGATACCCTCCCCCGTGCACCGGCGAAACCGGCGGCTTGTACTCACCACTCCCCTGAAGTTCCGGCCGCGGAGTGCCGTAGTTGGGCGGCAACTCGCTGGCAGGCGTCCCGGTGCTCCCCTGAAGCTCCTGTCTCTCGGTGCTGTGAAGCTCGGGCACGACGGCGACGTTCGGGCCCATCTTGGCCGTGTTTTCGAGCTCGGGGGGTCCTTGGGGGTTTGGCCCATCCACTGCCGGCAGCTGCTCCCCCTTGTTCTTGTTGCGCTTTCGGCGGACGAAGAATGCCACGGCGGCGATTGCGGCAATGAGGACGACGCCGGCAAGGACACAGGCCGCAATGACGGCCGTCTTGTTGATGGAGTTTGTCTTTGAGCTCGAGCCCGAGCTGTTTCCACCACTCCCATCAGAGGATGAACCGTCTTGTCCCCCATTGTCCGAGTTGTTCCCTCCGTCACTGCTGCTGCCGCCGCCGCCGCCGCTCCCCGTCTCTGAAGGGCTGGCGGAAAACGAAGAGACTCGGTTGGTAGGGTGCGGGTACGTTTCCGTGGCGGTATCCGTTATGGACAGGACAGTCTCCTTCTCGGCCGCGCTGCAGTAGACGGCAAAGACGTCGAGGGCCGAGGTGACGTCTGCAGTGGCCGTGTTGTCGCAGTTCCACTTGACGTTGGAGGTGAGGGTGCTCAGGATCTTGCGGCTCATGCCGGACTTGATGCAGACGCACGAGGCGAGGGCTTGAGGGCCGGTGGCGCAGTAGATGGCCGTTTGCTGCACAAGTCGAGTGTTAGTATTTCGGTGATCTCGTCATGTATGGATTTGGAGCTGAGCTGAAAGACAACAGAAGCAGCAGACTTGCATGGAGGATAGCAGACGCAACACCGCTTTGGGCGCACGACCGCAACGACTTGAACTGGGGCAAGGCGGTAATGTGGTATGTCACTGCGTGAAGATCCAGATGTTAGTCCCTGTGTATCTCGCAGTAGTCCTATATGGAACGGCATATAAGAAGCCCTTGCTCGACATACTGTCTCCCGGAGGCCCTGGCGGCTGCGTAAACGTCGTCGTTCCGTTGTTCATGGCGCAGTATTCGTTGTAAAAGTCCTGGGCAGCGGTGATGTCGCCTCCGTTGGAGCACGAGTATCTTGGAGACGCCCATCATCCATTAGCACAACAAACCCACGCATCGATCCAGAGATGAAGCTCGACCTACCGAACAGACTTGCTAATCACGTCGCTGACTTGTGAGGGGATCCCACCCTTTCCACAGACACAGGGCGCAAACAGATTGGCGGCTTCGGGGCACCTGGAGATATTCTGCGCAGTTGGTCTTGTGGTCAGTTCTCCTCCCATCTCCGTCACGCACGTAAAAGGCCGTATAAGAGAGCAAACGTACATCCCCCATGACTGCCTGTGACAGAGCCGACTGAGCGCATTGAGGGAGATAGTTGATCTGGCTCAAGTCGGTGATGTAGGCCTCGACAACGTTCTTCGTCGGCGTCGAGAATGTGATGGGCAGGTCCTGGTTGCAGTACTTGGCCATGACGCTCGATGCGCTCTGCTGGTCGTCGGTTGCGGTGCTACCGCAACTGTTCCTGACGTCTCGCGAGATGGACGACGTGATGCTGTTGAAGCGCTCCGTGTTGGAGCAGGCGCATGACTGCAATTCTGTTTCCGAGTCGCCGCATATTGTGCCGTATGTGAGCGTCGCGATGTTGTATGAGATGGCGTCGGAGACACAAGGGGCCTGTGAGCAGGAAGCTTTGCGTTAGCCGTCTCTTGTTGCGACTGTACAAGGGCTGGTATGTTACAGAAGATCACAACCTACCAAGAGAGAGTAAATCTCCAGGTCCGTCACGTAGTTGAGATCAGCTTCGACAAGCGCTGCCAACGCGATGACTGGAGCGAAGGACAGCCGCGTCCGTATTGATCGGCGCATGGCCGGCTGTGGCTGCCCAAGGCAAGAACGCTATGTAATATGATTTAGAAAAGAAGGCGGGTGGTGAAGGTCGAGAAGATGCTGTTTTGTTATTCAGCTGCTGCTTCTCGAGAAGAGCAACTCTTGCAGCTCAGTCTATATTGGCACAGAAAAAAACACGACACCAGCGGCAACACCAGGGAGAGAGTCGCTTGTGACAAGCCAATATGGCGACACAAGACGAATACAAAAGAGGATGACGGAGTCAAGAGAGCTTTCCTCTCACACATTTCTCTCTCCCGCTTCTGCTTCTGCTTCTTCCTCTGCTTCTTCCTCTGCTTCTTCCTCTGCTTCCTCTCTCTCTCTTCAACCCATCACGGGGAACCCCTGCCCAGCGCCAACGGTTTAGAGGAATAGCAGCCCAACGGCGCCTTGGCAGCGCACCGGCAAAAGGAGCTGGGGCTGAAGTCCAAAGCTTGCAGCTTCGCCATTTGACGGGGACCCTTGACAGCTGAACTCGACCTGCAGCGCGCCATGGCCCTTTTTCGGGCTACGGCCACGAGCCAGACGCTGTGAGGCTGAAACGGAGCTCTCTTTTCGTCGTGATGCTATCGCGGCTAGAGTAAATTGCAGTGACCCCGCAGCGAGTGGTGGCTTTTTCTCATGTTGACGATCGTGTCAACGAGAGGAGACAAACGTGATGAGAGCCCTAGGGAGAGCCTCGTTATTTGAACTGAACCGGCATCTGAGACATGCAGCCAGGGGAGATGCAGCAGATGCAGCTCTTCTAGTACCTGACACGCTAAGACGACATTACTTTCAAAGTCACGGCAGTCGAGCTCTCATGAGTTATCCGCAGAAGCATTGGATGTGGAGATTAATGCCTAGAGGCGGCATTCTGACTCGAGATATAACCCCGTACACCTGAGCTTCGGTGTGACAGCCGACTCAACTCGCCCATTGATAAACACCGCCATTCACCCTCTCTACCTACCTATCGTGGAATCCTTGATCGCTGGCTGGCTAAATTACTAGCTCGCATAATGAGGGATTCACCATATCGATGACTGCCGGTATCTGTGGTTGATTCTGGAATAGAGTGAAGAATCTAAGAGGAAATCAAGGATTAGGAACCCGAGGAACCAGGTCAACCTTGGTAGTGTAGAAATGTCGGTGATGCGTACTTGTGTCTTTCGGCGAGTTGAAACCTAAAGTATCCATGCCTCATTGACGGCTGTCGCTCCAAACGTTAACCAGCAAGATACCTTCAGTTTAACCTTATTGAATAGCCATTTTAGCGTGTCTCTTGATGTCGGAAACATTCTGCTTTTCGCCTTCCTTGGCTTTGGTGTTGGATTTTTCTGGTCAGACGAGCTTACGAGATGAGATATAGACTACAGGGTAATTGAGTTGATGCATCGTTTCTGTTGGTGAGACTGGGCATCTTTCCACTTTGCGATTGAATGAGCCTGTCGCAAGATGTAGTTATTGCGGTCTCTGCAGAGCGAAGACAAGAAACAAGCACGAGACGCAGTTATTACTTGGAGGCGTTTAGAGCAGCTACCCGATGAGATGGGAATCTCGATCTGACAATGACGACGGAACAGCGAGAGGCGCCACCAATCTGGAAACACAAAAGTAACCAATTCAGGTAGAAAAGATTCAACAGTGACACCATGAATTTTGATTCAGCCTCATACCTATTGATGCCACAACGGCATGGACTATCTTGATCTGCAGTGAGTTTATGTACTTGCAGTCATACTTACAACATATGGTGAAGATGATAATGGTGCGGTCTATGGAAAGATACACCACTCAGACAGGAGTTTGTTCGAATTAGCCTAGGAATGATTCGGTTTCAATTCCCAGGCTTAGGCCACGGACTTCTACCATCGCTCCCGTAATTTACTAGGTGGTAACACATAACGTATATCCAATGTCGAGAGAGGAAGAGATTGGGATTGCTACACAGCAGACGGTATGACCAGATAGTCCATTGTGTGGCGGTAGTAAGGATGATGATGAGTACCATAGCTAGGTTAGCACGCATCACGTATGATACTCCCATTGGAAAACAGACCATACTCCCAACTTTCATGAACCATCTTGCTGTGAACGGACTACGAGTATTACCTTATATGTAGTAATACCCAATGTGAACACCAGTGAGTCGAACCTCTTAACGGCAATATTGCCCGCGAGGAGGCTTCGTCCAATCAAGTGCAGGGCAATCCCGTTTACGGAGATGCAGAAAAGGCGACTAACTGAGCCGAGTATAAACGAGCGAGCTCCACCGTGGAGGGGATGCGAGGCTTGCCGTCGACTTGTGAATCATTACCCCAGATTGGAAGAAGCATTGGATGATTGTCAATTGCTGTTAATATATAGGTAGGTATATAAAGTACAGGATCTATCTTGCCAGAAACATCAAGTCAGAAGGTGTCAAATCTGGAAGAACCACGCGTGTTATACATAAGAGCCACACAGTCTTACAGTCCAACGGTCTTACAAGCCTTCGTCCTCTACATCAGCTACATCAGCGAGCATCTGCTTGTCGGCGACAACCAGGTGAAGAACGAAGAAGAAAAAGAAAAGGCTCCGTGACAGCATTCTCAGCTCTGAAAAAAATGTATCTCCGCAGCGACCACGTCGAAACAGACCTCCGCGTCCTGCGGCAGCTGATCCGCGAGAACCCCCTCGGCCTCTTCACCACGGCCATCGCCTCCTCGACTTACCCCTTTCTCCAGTCCAGCCACATCCCCTTCATCCTCGACATCGACAATGAATCCAGCGAGACAGAGCTCGGCCGGCTAAGGGCACACATGGCCCGCGCCAACCCGCAGGCCAAGGCCATCATCGACGACATCAAGCAGCGCCAGGCCGCAGGCGACAGCAACCCTACGACTCTACAGCAAGACGTCCTCATCATGTTCACCTCCTCCGTCCAGCACTACGTCACGCCCAAGTTCTACACGGCCACCAAGCCGGCGACGGGCAAGGTCGTCCCCACCTGGAACTATGCCGCCGTCCAGGTATACGGCAAGGCGACGTTCTACATCGACACAAACGCAGAGGACACGGCGGACTTTCTCGACTCGCAGATTGGCGACCTGTCAAGCTTCAACGAGACTTTCACCATGGGCTACACGGGAGAGGGACCGCGGCCGAAGCCGTGGCAGGTGTCTGACGCGCCGGCTGCGTATGTGAACCTGAAGAAGAAGGCCATTGTCGGCTTCGAGGTCAAGATTGAGAGGATGGAGGGCAAGTTTAAGATGGATCAGGAGATGGGCGATGGCGATGTTGACGGAGTGATTAAAGGGTTCAGCGAGTTGGGGAGCGAGATTGGGACGAAGATGGCGAGTCTCGTGGAGGAGCGGAGGGAGATGGCAAGGCAAAAGAAGGCGAGCAGGGAGAGCAAGTGATGCATATCATATCTCATAAAGTGAAGCCATAGAGAAGTAAAGGAGCCGTACCATCCGAATTAAAGAAACTAGAAGGCTGAAGAAAATCAAATGGCCGTTGTTAGCTAGCACCAGAAGAGTCTTGATGATGGTTGATATCGATCTGAAGATGAAGAATACATGGAGTGAAGCTATTCAAAGCTCCAATCCCCCGCAACCCCAGACGCTTGCACATGTAATTGTTTGATCCCAGCCGTACTCTGTACCAGATAAGCCGCCCGATAAAGCGGACCCGCTCTATTTTACAGGGAGCTGGCAGCTCTTCAGCACCCGGACGAGTCAGTCAGTCAGGCAGTCAATCTTGATTGCTTCACCTAACCAAACAACCCGGAGCTTCACCAACGATCCATTGACGCTCAAGATTGGCCGATACCACCAGCATTCATCGAGTCACAACCTCCATTGGCACGAAAGAAGCAACAGACAAGCTGCAACACACCCGATCTGCAACCAATAAACATGTCCAGCAAACCAAAGTCAAGATGGGCCAACACCGCAGAAGACGCCGAGTTTGAAGCAAGGCTCAAGAAGGAAAAGGAAGAGAAGCGGCGCAAGAAGGCGCAGAAGCTGCAAGAGGAGGAACAGAAGAAACAAGCACTCCTGGCCGCCTCTTCAGCGACACCACGAACCGCAGAGGCCAACGACGACGACGGCGACGATAATAACCAAGATGCTTCAGCAGTACCACCACCACCACCATCATCATCATCATCATCACGGCCCTCGAAACGCCGCAAACTCACCCCCGAGCCCTCCAACACCAACGACACCATTACTCCCTCTTCAAGTTCCTCCTCCGCCCTTCTCCGCTTCGACGTCGGCACCTGGAAGCCCTGCCGCAGCGTCGACCACTACGACAAGCTCAACGACATCGAGGAGGGCACGTACGGCTTCGTCGCGCGCGCAACCGAAATCGCCTCGGGCAGGGTCGTCGCCCTCAAGCGCCTCAAGCTCGAGCCCGGCGACCCCAACGGCCTGCCCGTGACGGGCCTGCGCGAGATTCAGATTCTCAAAAAGTGCCGGCACCGCAACGTCGTTGCCATGGAGGAGGTTGTCGTCGGCAACGACCTCTCCAAACCAGACAAGTAAGACAGACAGACAGACAGACAGAGAGACAGACAAAATGCCTGATCAGACGCTGGAACCCCATTGTTGCTAACCCCGTGTGTCTTTTCAAACAACATCCAGCTCCATCTTCCTCGTCCTCGAATTCGTCGAACACGACCTCAAGAGCATCCTCCAGGACATGCCCGAGCCCTTCCTCTCCTCCGAAGTCAAGCGCCTGCTCCTCCAGCTCACCGCGGGCGTCTCCTACCTGCACCAGCACTACATCCTGCACCGCGACCTCAAGACGTCCAACCTCCTCCTCAGCAACCGCGGCCTCCTCAAGATCGCCGACTTCGGCATGGCCCGCCTCGTCGGCGACCCCCGCCCCAAGCTCACCCAGCTCGTCGTCACCCTCTGGTACCGCGCCCCGGAGCTCCTCCTCGGCGCCCGCGACTACGGCGCCGCCGTCGACATGTGGTCCGTCGGCTGCATCATGGGCGAGCTCATCACCCGCGAGCCCCTCCTCCAGGGCTCCAACGAGGTCGACCAAATCTCCAAAGTCTTTGAGCTCTGCGGCGTCCCCACCGACGACTCCTGGCCCTCGTTCCGCCGCCTCCCCAACGCCCGCTCCCTCCGCCTCCCCAAGCACACGCCCCCGCAGGCCTCGGGCTCCGTCATCCGCGCCCGCTTCCCCAACCTCACCGCCGCCGGCGCCTCCCTGCTCAACAGCCTGCTGTCCCTCGACCCGGACAGGCGGCCGTCCGCCGCCCAGATGCTCGATCACGAGTACTTCCGCCAGGACCCGAAACCAAAGCCCGAGAGCCTCTTCCCCACCTTCCCCAGCAAGGCCGGCCAGGAGCGCCGCCGCCGGCACGAGCCCGACGCCCCTGTGCGCGGCCAGGCCGTGGCCCTGGGCGATGTCGACTTTAGCGGCATCTTTCAGGGGAGGGACAAGGAGGAGAGGGGGGCCGGCTTCAGTTTGCGCATGGTCTGAATGGGGCTGGAGCGTGTTTGCCATAGTAGTAGCAACTTGGGATTCTGTTGCCATTACACCAAAGACCATCTAATTACATCAGAGACTATCTGGTCATGCCGTCTGCTTTGAAGCAATCCGAATCTCTTCATCTCTCGACTTTGTATATATATAGAGCCAGTTTTGTCAAGCTACCAAGATAATAGACGCAGCCTTTGCACACGAGCTAGGCGCAAGACAACATCGTCTACAAGCGGCGATTCACCTCTTCACGTGTCATTCCTCAGACCAATGCCAGGCCACACTCCCCCAATGTGAAGCAGTGCAAATGTTCATCAGGATCCAGCCCAAGACCCATTAAAAGTATACGTCATTACAACTTGTAGCTACCTATTTTTTCTTGTCTTCTTCATTTGATTTGGTCCATCGTGAAAAGAGTCGTCCAAGTAACTTTAATGCTCCTCCCCCTTGTTTATCCAAGCATGCACACGCGCAATCAAACGACCAGAACAAGGTGAAGCAAACAAACTCCCAACAGAATGAACAAAACGCCCCCCCCTTTGGAAATGACCCGTGATTATCGCCTTGTAATGAATTTCCTCCCATCTCCAAAAGCTTCATATGCAAAGAGCTGAACCAGGTACTATTGCAACGGCAGGTGGCCTGATACAGTCCGAGGTCCAGGCAGAATTCGGCTCGAGGTCCTGGCCTGATCAGTTGAGGTCCAGGCCAGACACGAACCAGGTGAAGCTGAGCACCGTCACCAGTCCCATGGTTATGGCAAAGCCCAGAACCTGGTGGTCAAACTTGGACAGGGCCGCGTTGCAAGCGTCGCACCTCCATTCGGGGAACGGCACGTAGGGCTGAGGCGTGTAGAGGCCAAAGGTGAAGCTGCTAAAGGTGCCCAGGTAGCCGGCATCCGGGACATCGCTGATGGCCGCGTCCGAGTCCTTGATGATGAGCGTGTACATGGCGACGGGGAGGGGCGACTCGACCGACGTCTCCTGGACGCTGCTGTCCCAGGTGTATGCGACAGACTTCTTGAACGTCATGTTGGAGGTCAGCGTCCAGGTCTCCGAGGCCGTCGAGCAGCTTATGAGGACGTCGACGGCGGTGGGGGTCCCCAGCAGGTTGGTGTAGTTCCATCCCCAGGTGATGTAGTCGCCAATCTTGTACAGGGCGGCGCTTCGGTCGAAGATGCCGGGCGTCTGCATCACGACGCTTCCCGGAGGGGACTCGGGGTCGAATTGCTTGTGATCCGTCGTTTTTGATCCCTTCTTAGCGGAGGTTGTCTTTTTGTCATCCTTGTCCGTCGTCTTGCTCGCGCCCTTCTTGGTAGTCTTGTCGTCAGAGCTGTCGCCGGTTTGGGAGGATGCCGGCGCGTCGGTCGGGGTCGGCTTGGCCGTGTTGCCCGGCAGCGTGGGCTCCGCAGTGTTTCCCTCTGTCAGAGCAGTCAATACAGGCTCATCCACGGCATTGGCACATGCCGCATTCATCGCATCATGACATACCCTTGTCCGCACGGACAACGAGCGCGTCCAGCTCGGGCAGCCAGCCGGGCCAGGCTGATACCAGCGGCGCAGCGGAGGAGAGGCACAGGGCCAGGCGCATCAATGTCGCAGTAGGACGCATTTCGTCGACAAAATATATGACTGTTGATTTTGAGAAAATAAAATGATAACAAAAACACAAGCAACACGCAAAGATGATGCCGATGTAAACAGTATCAAGAACCGGAAAGCAAGCTGGGTACTGGAGCCACCCACTTCCGGCTCAATGAAGGATCTTGATAGTCAAAAAAAGAAACTTGTGTTTGCTCGCAACAGAAGTAGATCGAAGCCGCGGTGGTTGAACAAAGACAATGGCAAGCGCCGCCTCGGCGGAACAGGGCAAAGATGGCCTTGTGGCTGTACCACGAGCGGGTCGGATCGTTGGCAGATGGACGGGAAAATCAGAGCAGCAGCAGCAGCAGCAGAGAGGAAGCGAGTGTCGGAGCCGTCAGGAGAGGCGAGACGGACGAGGAGAGAGAAGCCACGGACAAAAAAAGCGAGGGACGACGAATGAAGCGCAAAACAGGCGGCTGCTGGTGAGGGGCGACGGCGATGGAAACCGGAGATGCTGCTGAGAAGGACTGGAAAAAAAAGAGAAGCAGCGAGAAAAGGAGACAGACGAGGAGGTGCAGAAATCCCGAGATTTCCTTCTGCTGAGCCCGTGTACGAGCGTGTACGGAGTGACTTTGCGCAAGTACCTCGTGGTTCCCAGGCCCAGAATAGGCCACGCACCGCATCATGGCTTACCTAGGACTAGCGCTAACTGTTCTAGACAGGGGTAATGTTGGTGAGCCCTTGCCGGATCAGGCGTAGCGTAGGTATAAATAACACTGGAATCTCGCCCGCTGCCGGAGCGAGCAGGGGAGGAGGCGGCGGGGGGATACTTGCGCAATGTATGGGGATGGCGGGCAAGCTGCAAGTATCGTTCGATCCTTTGAGCGCCTGCTTACGGCAAGACGGGAGTACTTGGAGGTACTTGCTGGTGTTTACTGTACATGGGTGCATTATATTACCTTATGGGGTGAGAGAAGAGGCAGAGACTCGAATGGAAGCAGATGGCGAGGCTGTGATGGAAGCATGACCAGATGAACGACAATGACTTTTGACCTGAATGCTAACCAACAAAAGTTACTGCTCGGTAAAGAGGGCACTCCTGAGAATACTAGTCCGGAGCATCTGATTCGACGACTTAGTTTTACCTTTTTCCTGCCCAGCGTCCTCGTGTCAGGGCTGGTGCTTCGTATTTCTGCTCCCCCTCCGAGTGATGGTGTGCATGCCACACCCGTATCCGAGCCGGCGGAAAGTAGACTGTGTTAGCTGCTCAGCGGCCGGTTGTGTGGCTGCCCGTAACAGAGGGTACGAGCGCCATCAGCAAGCCATACCCGCACTTCCATACGAGGAGCAGCGCTCCAGGTGGCACTGTGGCGATGCAGTGGATCGATGGGATGGTGTGCGCTGCTGACGAGCTGCTTTTGTTGGAACTCCAACCCGTATCGTATGTACGAATGCCATAGGCTTGTAACAAGTGCCAATTCTTGTGCGAGCACAGCGCTGGGGATGGGATGCTGTGCTGACTGTGAAGCCCCGTGTGTGCGACTGGAGAATATCCTGATAGGTCATAGTAGCAGGGACTCGTCCTGTCCTGTCCTGTCCTGTGCTTTATATAGCCACCCATCTTGAGCATCAGGACATCTCATGCAGGCCGAGCTGCAAGTCATCCTCTGCGACTCCGCGCCATGCCTGGCCTGGCCTTTTCTGCGCAGTCAGAATGAGTTCAGCGCCATCGCGAGGATAACCCAAAATTCGTCATTGCGCCGCGTCTCAACCAACGTCAGATCTTTGATTACTTCATGAGATCTATTACTGGGAATGCTGCTCTCTTGTTGTTCAATTTGCGCCGTTGGAATTCGGCATTCTCCCTTGCATTCAGGCCGCATTCCGGCCGCAGCACGGCAAACCATCCGAGTCCGCCCGGCAGTTCAAATAGGAGGCGACTCTCTCTCTCTCTCCCTCCATCTTGCTTGCTTCTCTCGACAGAGCTGCAGATGTCTTATTTACGCTTGTATTGATTGGTCTCTTTTCATATCGGCATATGCTCTGGAGGATTTTTACCTTTGTTTTGCTGACGGTGATTTCCACTCATTGTTCATCCCGCTCGCTGTAAAAAGTCTTGCGCCTCATTATGCGCTGGCAGATGGTAAGTACTACTGCTGAGGTAGTCAGTAGAGTGGAAAACACAAAAGCACAGCGTCTCTTGAAGATATCACATCCACAATCGCCTTGTTGAACTGCTTCTTCTTCTTCTTCACACCTCACCTTCTGCCTTTCTGGTCATTGATGCCAAAGCCAACATAGTAGTCTCGTCGTATTACTCTACCCTCTTGTCCACTCCATTCCATCCGTTCTACAGTACATGCACCTCGTGTAATTCACCTCAGGTGGCATAATGAGAGAGCTTTATCTTATCGTCGCCTCTAACCAGCCCAGGCATAGTCTTGAGCTCTACCAAAAAAAATTCAGGCAGCTCTAATAGCTGTACGTCTACAAGCTTCAGCACCTACTACGGGCACCTAGAGCTGCTGTTAGTACCGCCTAGCACAGCACACGCTGAGCCTAACAAATGACGCCGCGCCCCGGGGGAAAAAATTGGCTCTGGCTTCAACACTCAAGCCCGCGACAAGACAGACACTCACTCAAAGCACTCACTTGTGTTTGCTGCCCACCTCGTCTTGTCATGATACAACCAACGCCTTCATTCGAGCATTGACTGAAGCAGCAGTAGAGCAGATCAAGTCTTCGCTGAACCCTGGCAGACGCCGCAATGAGGCCCGCCGTTGCCGCTTCGGCCTCCATCCCCAGAGGAGCCGCTCATCTCACAAGACGACGGCTGGTGGCCTCTATCCTGCAGACACCATCATGCCACTCACATACACGTCCTTTCTATACATCAAGGCTACCAAGGACAGCCTCAAGATGCTTCTCGTCAACGCAGCCTCGTCGCGTCGAAGAGAGAAAATGGTCCACCCCGCTGGCCAAGCAGCTCCATGAAGCCATCTCCGTAAGAAACCAACAATGTCCCCCTTTACAAGCCCCTGACTTGAGACCCTCATCATCATCTCAACATCACCCGCTAACACTGCTTTCTCCCCCTCAGACCACCGGCTCCGTCCCCGTGGCCAGCTACATGCGCATGTGCCTGACCGGCGACCTGGGAGGCTACTACACCGGTGCCGTGGGCCAAGGCCGTGATCAGTTCGGCACCAAGGGGGACTTTGTCACTTCGCCGGAAATCTCCCAAATCTTTGGAGAGCTGCTCGGCATCTGGTTCATCGCCGAGTGGATCAGCCAGGGCAGGCCTAGCAAGGGCGTCCAGCTCATCGAAGTTGGCCCCGGTCGAGGAACGCTCATGGACGACATGCTTCGGGTAAGGCCTTGACCATCTTTCATAAAAAACTTGTTCATACTCCCTTCCTTATGCTGAAACGTCTTTCTCCATAGACTATACAGCGCTTCCCGGCCATGGCCAGCAGCATTGAAAACGTCTTCATGGTCGAAGCCAGCCGCGAGCTGCGCGAGACGCAAAAGAAGCTCCTGTGCGGCCCTGATGCTCCCTCCACCGAGTCCAATGCCGGATGCCACAGCCCCAGCAAGTACGGCTCAATTCCCATCGTCTGGACCGAGACCATCAAGTCTATTCCCATTGGTGAGTACCACTGTAATCCTTTCTCCTTATTCACATCGTCAGTTCAACTGCATAGACAACATGGCTTACCATTGCACCCTCTCCCATTATACGGCATAGAGTCCGACAAGACCCCCTTTATCGTGGCCCACGAATTCTTCGACGCCCTCCCCATCCACATCTTCCAATCCGCCCCGGCAACAACGTCAAAACCCTCTCCCTCTTCCCAACCAGACATCACCACCACAACAACAACAACAACACAAACAGCATCATCCTCAACGCCCCCCATGGAATGGCGCGAAATGATGGTCTCCATCGCGCCCCCCAACCCAACAACAACAACAACAACAACATCCCACACCCCCAAATCCCACCACAACAACAACGACGATGAGCCCCCTCCCGAATTCCAGCTCGTCCTCTCCTCCTCCACCACCCGCCACTCCCGCTACCTCCCCGAATCCTCCCCCCGCTACCGCCGCCTCAGGGACACCTCCCCCAACGGCGCCCTCATCGAAATCTGCCCCGACGCCTCCCTCTACGCCGCCGACTTCGCCGCCCGCATCGGCGGCTCCCCCGCCCACCCAAAGGCCCGCCCCTCCGGCGCCGCCCTCATCCTCGACTACGGCACCGCCGACACCGTCCCCGTCAACTCCCTCCGCGGCATCCGCCACCACCGCCTCGTCAGCCCCTTTTCCGCCCCCGGACTCGTCGACCTCAGCGCCGACGTCGACTTCCACGCCATTGCCGAGGCCGCCACCCTCGCCAGCGACGGCGTCGAGGTTCATGGGCCCGTCACCCAGGCCGACTTTCTCATGCTCATGGGCATTCGCGAGCGTGCCGAGGCCTTGACCAAGGCTCCTGGCGTCACCCCCGCCAAGGCGACGGACATTGAAAAGGCGTGGAAGCGTCTCGTCGATCGTGGGCCCAATGGTATGGGCAAGGTGTACAAGGTGCTCGCCATCTTGCCTGAGAATGACGGCCGTCGACGACCAGTTGGGTTTGGCGGTGATGTGACGGAAGCTTGAGGGCATGATGCGGGCCTGAGAGCAACGGCTTGCTTGTATAGAAAAAAGTGAATAGTCAAAACTAGCCTGTAATATAAGAGTCTATCGAAACTTGATACCACGTACTGGCTCAGTTGGTGCTGTTGCTCGGGGATTACCTCTCATGTCTGGGGTCATTGGAAAAATTTGTGCCCCTTTACTGGTGAATGCACAAGGGTGCAATAATCGACTGGCATCAACACATCAGTACAGCTCACTACACCCTCGAAATTCTGACGTGTTTCTCGAGGAGTTTCCCCATAGCCCTTAATGATTCTTCTATTTTACACAAAAAAAAAACACCGTTAAAGAAGAAAGAAGAAGCCCGGTTCATAAACGCCGAGCGGCCTATCCCGTTGCCTCCCACAGTCAAGCGTGCTATTAACCAGCTCAATCACCTCCAGTCCATTACCGCTTCTTGTTGACAAGCTTGGCGTCCTCGTCATTGCTATCCGCCTCGCTCTCGGCCTCGCTGTCCGATGCCTTGTCGCCGTCTTCGCCCACCGCAAAGATCGTCTCGCCGTCCAGAGACTCTCGCGGGCCACCACGAGCGGTTGCCTGTGACTGCGCGCCACTGGGAGCAGGCCTGCTAGAGCCCGGCTGGGCCAGCCCAGCGCCTGTCAAGCCACTCTCCTGTCCATAGTTGGCAGCGGGCTTGTTATTGCCAATCTGCGCCTCTTCGTCGTCCGAGTCGTCGGGCATGCCAATGTCGCCAATTTCAAAGTTGCCGTCGTCATCCTGCGCAATCTCGTCACTCATGGCAAAGCGGCGATTGTTGGCCGTGGGACGCCAGATGTAGGCGACCCAGGCAACGTCTGCAAAGTAGACAATGTTGAGCCAGCCGTCCAGGATGAACCACCTGGTCTTCCAGTGAAAGGGGACGAAGTCGGGATCGTTGACCGACGCAAAGGTGATGCTGTTGAAGAAGAAGAAGGCAAAGATGACCAAGACGCTGATGAGGATGGCCCACCACAGCTTCTTGTACATGCCTTCTTTGACGTGCTGCTTTCGCTCACGCAGATCCTTAAGTGTGAAGCTGAGCGAGTTAAGCGTCCAGACATAAAAGGCCGTCAGAGTTCCGGCCAGCGGAAGGACAATCAGGAGAACAAATGGCCCTGTTGATCTGTCTTAGTACACGGAGGACGAAGGCATGACGACGTCAACTTACCAGCACTTTCTGGTGATACCAGCAAGCTCGTAACTGCATAGACAATACCAAACACAAAGTGCGCAGCAGCAAGCCATCTGACGTAGATCATTGTGCGGCCAAGGGTGGGCTTGACAACGCCATAGCCCATGCAGACGATGAGGAGCAGGAAGAAGGAGAACGAGTTTCGGGCCGCATTGAGGATCGCAACGACGATGAGGTAGACCTTACTCCCGACATTGGCCGTTCCGTGATGATTCTGGTAATCTGCGCAACTGTTAGTATGCTACGGGCCTGCCGTGCTATTTGTATCGATTTCCGCATACCGTAGAAACCCCATGTCAGGAGCATTTCAATAGCCAAGAAGATGAGAATAGCTGTTATGTAATTTTGCACCGCAACTGTAGCAATTTTAGTTAGTTCGGAAGCCCTACCCCCCAGGAATGATTGGGGACTGGGACTCACGGATGTCATGCCGATGTTGGTAGTAGAGAAAGGCCCAATAGACGGTCACCAAGGCGTAGAGAATGGACATTCCGCCGTAGAAAGGAAGTTTCGGTATCTGGGTTGCCGGCAGCTCGCCATAGGCATTTCGGAACTCCACGACGGCGTTGTACTTTTCAATGTTGAAGCCCTCGGTGATGACGCAGTAGTAGCCAGTCTTCTTGATGGGGTAGTTGATCGGGGTCGGGTTGTTGAGATGGACCGCCTTGCTCAGGATCAACGTGTGGGACTTTTCCGTCGCATTCGAGGCCAGGACAAATTCGCCTTTGTTAGTCGAGTTGCAGATGCCCTGCTTGATCATGCCGTCGTCGCAGAGCGCAAGTCGCTAAGTATTCTTTAGCATTCAAGGACAAGCCAGGTGCTTTTTGTGTAGGTGGTTGTCGATCTAGTCGGGTCGTGGGAGGGAGGGCAATCCTTACCGTGGCTTGGATATCTGGATCTGGGATGCCAATGAACTCGCTGTCTCTCCATTCGAAAATCACCAGGCTCGCAATGGGGTCGTCGCCCTGAGCGGCGGTGTCGTTGAGGAACTTGACGAGGATAAACGGATCAACGGGGCCGCCCCAAGACGTGCGGCTGTACATTCCTATGCCGCTTGTCAGTCTCTGGTTGAGAACCATGGGAGCATGAGGCAAGCAAACCTGTGCAGTACTGGCGCGAGTCTTCTTTTTCGTTCTAGAGAGCAAAGAAACAATCAGCCAATGCCCTCCCTTTGTCTCTTCGACAGACGTCCGCCCTCTGGGGCGCATACCATGGGAACTTCGAGTGCCCGGGCGCCGTAGAGCGACATGCCCAGGGCGAGAAGCCCGAGAAGAGCCCTCATGTTGGCGGCAGATCGGGGCAAGCACCAGGGGGGTTCGCAGTCGGTGGTCGTGGGTGGATGATCGCAAGGATCCAAGAGAGCAGAAGCTGCTTGACGATGGCGGGGGATCGGATCGGATCAGCGTCAGCCTATTGTTTGTCGGAGTGGTTGAGAGCTCATTCGGCGACTGAATTGCGCGGCACCAGAGCAGAGTAGAGCAGAGCAAAGCAGAGCAGAGCGAGGCGCGCAGGTTGAGAGCAGATCGATGTTGCTGCTGGTCCGGGGGGGGATTTGCAGTCGTCGGATTTTGAGACAGCAGGAGATGCGAATATTTCGAGTTCCTCTCGCAGAGAAGACGGAATGGCAAAATGAGAATAGAGCGTAAGATGACGAGAGACCCCGTCTGTTGTCGAGTCGCCAGGCAGAGGAGCACAAGGTTAAGGGTGAAGTGGCAGAAGAGGAAGCTGAAGCAGCTGGTGGTGACGCCTCCAGCGGTTCAGCGGTTGAACTCAGTGCAACGCTCAGCGGCAACGGACGGGATACAGGCGCTGGACCTGTCGAGGTGGCAGCTTCCGGCATTGGCGCGCGCACGGAGTACCTGGAGCTGCAAGCCATTCGGTGGTACGTAAGGCCACTTACGTTGCCCGCTAAAGTAGCTTTCGGCAGGGGTGCGTCTCGGTGTCTCGGTGGCTGCGAGTAGCTGGCGGGTACCGTGGCGGCGGCGGCTGATAAGCGATAAGGAATTGGTCCTGTCCAGAGAGCATCGTCATTTCTGCTTGCAAGATTCATACATCAATACCTACTTACCTTTACAACATACAAGACCATGATTCGATAGATACCCCCTTTTCCATATACACAGCTTGTCTCTCTACTACGGGCGCATTGTCATTCTGATTTCTCAGCTCTCTTCTCTTCTTCAATTGCTTCTTCCCACTTTTCTGATTCATCGTCCCTCTTCTCGTCCCTTTAGCAGCAGCCATGGGTAAAGGAACCGACAAGCTCTACGTGAGTCCAACCTCTCTGTCCTCCCACGCGATGCGCTCCCCTCGTCCACCGATTGACTGCCTGATCGACTGACATCCCACAGATTACCCATTCCGAATGGTCCTCGTCAGACGCCTACTCCGCCAGCGTCGGCGCCGGAGCCGGCTCACGCGCCTCGAAGTCCGAGATCCCCTTCCGCCGCCTCCCCTTCAACTTCTGCGCCGCCTCCCTCCAGCCCTTCAAGAACCCCGTCTGCACCCCCGACGGCACCGTCTTCGACGTCGAGGTCATTGACGCCTGGCTCGACAAGCACCCGGGCCAGAACCCGGTCAACGCCGAGCCCTTGCACAAGAAGGACCTGATCCGCCTCAACTTTGCGCGCAACGCCGAGTCCGACTCGCTGGGCGTCGGCATGAGCGACGGCAAGGGCGACCTCATCGACCCCGTCACGTACAAGGTCTTCACCGACAACACGCACATTGTCGCCATCCGGCACGGCAGCTACGCCAACGTCTTCGCCTGGGACACGGTCGAGCGCATGAACATCAAGGCCAAGATGTGGCAGGACCTCGTCGACGACCAGCCCTTTACGCGCGCCGACATCATCACCATCCAGGACCCCCAGAACATGGCGAGCCGGAACCTCGACACGTTCAAGTACCTGCAGGACGGCGGGCAGGCGCAGCTTACAAAGGAGCAGGAGGAGGAGCGCAAGGCGGGTAACATCAACGCCGGCGCGCTGGGCAGCATGGGCGACAAGGTGCTCAAGGCCAAGGCCGCCGTGGAAAAGGCGCGCAAGGCGAGGGAAGCCGGCGGCGACGTCAACAAGAGCTCGGGGGCGCTCGAGAAGTCCAAGCAAGGCACCTCCTCGGCCGCGGTCCGACACGCCCCGATACAAGACAGGAAACTCGCCGCCAACGCCGCGGCGTACACGACCGGCAGGGCCGCAGCCAGCTTCACCAGCACGGGCCTGACCCCCGAGACGAGTGGCGAGAGGGCGCTCCTGACGGACGAAGAGTTCATGCTCAAGCCGCGGCGCGTCAAGACCAAGGGCTACGCCAGGATAGAGACCAACCTGGGCAACCTGACGATTGAGCTGCACACCGAGACGGCCCCCAAGGCGGTCTGGAACTTTGTCCGGCTCGCGCAGACGGGCTATTACAAGGGCGTGGCCTTTCACCGCAACATTCCCAACTTTATGATCCAGGGCGGCGATCCCACGGGCACCGGCAAGGGGGGCACGAGCATCTGGGGCAAGAACTTTGACGACGAGTTTGACGGGCCCCTGACGCATGATGCTCGCGGAGTTGGTACGTTGCTATATCCTTCATTCCCTCACCCCCCCATCCATCCGTATATCGCTTTTGGTTTCAATGCTAAATACATCATCACGCAGTCTCCATGGCAAACAAGGGCAAAAACACAAATTCGTCCCAATTCTTCATCACCTACAAGCCAACGCCGCACCTCGACCGCAAGCACACAATCTTTGGCCGCGTCGCCTCGGGCCACGACGTCCTGTCCAAGATGGAGGCCGTCCCCACCGACGGCTCCAACCGGCCGCTCAACAAAATCGTCATCAAGGACGTCGTCGTCTTCGTCGACCCGTTTGCCGAGTTCCAGGCCCAGAAGCAGGAGCAGGAGCGCCAGGAGCGGCGGCGCGAGGAGATTCGGCGGCAGGGCGGCACGGAAGACGACAGGACGACGTGGACGGGCAAGAGGCTGCGCGGGGACGGCACCTTGGATGGCAAGGCCGACGGGGCCAAGAGCAGCGTGGGCAAGTATCTCGATGCGAGCGCCTTGTTGGATCAGGGGTCAACAAGGGGCAATGGCGGCAGAGCGGGGGCAGATGGTGATGCGGACGAGGTCGACACGTGGGAGGCGCAGCCGCGCAAGAAGATGAAGGCAGGCGGATTTGGAAACTTTGACAGCTGGTGAAGGATGCAAGACAAGAAGAGCATAGGAAACGACTTGAAACTGCACAACAGCAACAGCGGAACTGTTGGTCTCTCTGAGATACAAGCATCATGATGATAATGTAATACAAATTTTCTTGGCTACCTATATCCAAAGAAAAGGCTACGGACATAAAGGAAGGGGGGGGGGGGGGGGGGGGGGCAAAAGGAAGTCATGGCCAAACAACTAGTAAGAGGATAGAAATAGCAAGGTTAGGGAAGTAGATATAATCTATCATGTCGTCGCTATAAATCAGTGAAAAGAGGAGAGCATTCAAAAGCAACGCGCCTCGTGTCAGCATTCTTCATCTTGATAGGGAAACGAAAACGAAAGCAAAAGACAGAAAAGAAGAAGAGGACCATCAAATATGTAAATAGAAAAGAAAATCGTTCACAAAGATAAACCAAAAGCGGCCAACTCTTCCCTAAAGTGGATGAGAAGGTAAAAGAAAAGAAAAAAAAAACTCCCTACACAACAAGCGGCAAGGCATCGTCCGGCAACGACGGCAGCCGAGTTGTCGGGATGCTAGCCCACGTCAACGTCTCGACCTTGTTCTGCATCATGCCCGCCACCACCCTGGCCTGCTCCAGCCCCGTCTCCCGGTAAATGGTCATGAGCCTGTCGACAATGTAGGCGCTCATCTCGTGCGTGCACGATGACGACAGGCCCAGCGTGTAGAGCGGCCAGATGATGGTGTTGCTCGCCGTGGCCAGGGTCAGGAACCTCTCCGAGTCGCAGCCTCGCCCGTTGCCCAGCTCCGACTGCGTGGGGTCGAGCAGCGTCGGCCGCGTGGCCACGCTCTCCCGCGGCCAGGCGGGGACAGGGGACTTGCTCTCGTCTCTGTCAGAGGCTTGCGGCGGCAGGAGGGGCGCCGTCAGCAGCGTCGACGACTGGTTCCGGGCCGTCACCGTCGGCTGCTCCCCCTTGGCCTTGCTGTACTTGATGTCTCGGGAGCTCACGATGCCAAAGTGCTGGGGGACGCTCCCGACGACAGCCTCGCCGAGCATGCGCAGCATCCTCATGGCCTTGACCAGCAGCAGCTGGTGGTGCATGGGGAGGGTCGTCGGGTCGTCGACGCTGTGGCACAGCTGCTCCAGGATCGTCTCCTGGACGAGCATCCGCATGGTGCGCACAGCGTTCCAAGCCGTGGCCTGGGTCAGGCCGGGATAGACGTGGCACGTACGGCCCATGATGGCGGGATTCGACTTGGTCAGCTTGACGTTCTGGTAGCGCCACGACGGCGGCAGCTCGTTGATGAGCTTCTCAAAGTCGTCCTCAATCTCGACCAGGCTGCCGACGATTTCGTCCACGCCGGTGATGCGCCTGTGCTTGATGTCGTGGCGGATCTGAAGGGCCCTGTACAGAGGGTCGATGACACGCCATGCCGGCCGCTTGCTGTCCGTGACATGCCGCAGCTCGTTGCGCAGGTCGACAATGGACTTGGGCATGGGCAGGCCGCTCTGGATGCAGCTGATGAGGACGGAATGGCACAGCATGAGGAACATCCTGACGCCGGCCTTTGTCTGGAACTGAGCTTTCCCGCGCATGGTGGCCAGCGTGGCGGCGCCGTTGATGTGTTCCTGCCAGGCGTGCAACGTCTGCGGGGTGTGTCCCGAGATGAACTCGTAGGTGCCGAGGATGAGGACGCCGAGCATGGTGCTGTCCTCGACGGCCTCGCCCGGGTTCCGGAGGGCAGCGTTGGCCAGCTGCAGAGCGGTGCCGTAGCTCTGCTGGGCTCGCACCATTGTCTCCCGGTCACCCGTGATCTTGGAGAGGCCAACCAGCCCGACGGCGGTCATGCCGGCGGAGATGAGGGCGTCTGTTCTCTTGAGCGGAGCGGCGCCGCGCCCCTTGGGCCGCCTCATGCTGGGCGGCTTCCAGATGTCGTAGATGAAGTCGTAGTTCTGGTAGCAGCCATGGTCGGTGGCGACATAGCGCGAGAAGAAGAAGGCAGTGCCGCGCTCCTGGAGAGAGATGGACGGCGCATAAGGGATGTGCACCAGGTCGGTGTCCTCGTCGCCAAAATCAAAGGTGCCGTCGTAGTCGTGGTAGTCGCCCTCGTCGTCGTACTCGTACTGATAGGCGTTGGTCTGCCGGGACTCGTAGCCATACCGACCCCCGTCTTCGCCCTCCCGAGCTCCGGCCAGCAACACCGACAGCAGCGGTGACGACTTGGCGGGCCGGGACTTGAACGAGCTCAGCGTGCTTGACGGCCGCTGGGTGTCGCGCAGCACCAGGGCGCCGGACGACGACAACAACGACGACGACGATGATGATGAGGATGATGATGCCGACGGCGATGGCGATGGCGATGGCGGCGACAGCGGCAGCGGTGGCGGTTCAAGAGGCGCCGCGCCTAGCCTCGGAGCGGCCCGGACGCCCTGTTTCAGCTTCTTGATGCGCGGCCTCGCGGCGGTGGCCTTTTTGATCACATGGTTGCTCTCGTCGCGGAACATGAGATCGACGATGTTGCGATAGCCCGGGCATTCGATCTGGCGCTTGGTGCACTGGCCGCAGCCGGGGTCCTTCTGATCGCACTACAAGCCGGCGGAGGAGCAGCGAGCGTAAGCAGAGGGGGAAAACGCCACAAGAGCTTTGTTGCAATGGTGCAAGGCCGGGAGAGGAGAATGAAGGAGATTGGGGGGGGAGATGGGGTTGAGGGCAAAGGCTGTGAGCAGTGTTCAAACCTACCCGGATCTTGCGCTCGCGGCAGTTGGAGCAGCCCTTGGAGGGCTTGCCGCAGTAGACCATTGTCGATACGGAGTCTGCGGATGATGATGATGATGATGATGATGATGATGATGATGATGGTGATGATGAGCCGGGTGTGGAAGATCAAGCGAGACGCAGACGATGCCGTCGATTTCTCGTTGCGTGAGAGTCTCGGCCTCTCTTCTCTTCTCTTGGCTCGATCTCAGTCGCCCACGCTCGTCTTCTCTCAAGCCTCGTCTCCAGGAATGCTGGCACAGCCAAAAGGGCACGTCAAGGCTCGTCTCCTGTGGCTGTCGCGATGAGGTTGGCGCCGCGCCGGACCGAGATGAAAATGGAATCGTCTCCAGCAAGGCGTGTCGCCCGACAAACGGCCATTCGCCGTCTTTGATTCTGTGTCTTTGCTCCTTTCTTTCCTCTCTCTATCTCCCCTCTCTATCCTCTCTCTTTCTTATCTCCTCTCTCTCTTGTCTCTCCTTTTGCGGCAACGCAGCCAGACGCTCTCCGAGCCGTTTGTCGCCTCACTCTCGCACCTCCTCAAGCACCGGATTCCCACATGCAGTGGCGACCAAAGGTGGGGGGTTAATCTGGCGAAGCAGAAGCCAGCAAAAAGAGCGAGATGTCAGTCAGCAGCAGCGGTAACGATGGCACGAAGCTGTACCGTAGTAATAATGCTCGTGCTCGTCGTAGTAATACCTTGAGAGGCAGTTGATGGTACTTATTGCAACGCACCAGTCTGGGGGGGTTTTGCCATCACATTAGTAGTACCTGTACGGTGGTGGGAGAAGGGTGGAGGAGGGATTGTGCTTCAACTCGTCCAGAAGAGCCTCTTGACGGAGTACAAAAGTTGCAAGGAATCAATCGCCCCCCCTCGTAAGGTAGGTACTAATACCTCCCTACCTGGTAGGTACCTAGGTAGTTACTAAGTAGGTAGGTAGGTACCTAATCAAGCACTCAAATCAATTAGAGATCGGGTGGGGCGCGGCTAGCCAGGTACGAGCCGGTGCCTGGAGAAATGCACGCCAGCTGCGGTACCGCCTTAGCAAACGCCTGAACGATTGGAGCATCATGAGGAACAAGATGGCCTCAACACTCAACAACTAGGTATCCAAAGCCATGCAAAAGATAATACAAGTAAGTACCTAGGTATGTAATACAAAGAAAGGGACACGGACGATAGATAACAACACACTATCAGGTACAGGTAGGTACAGGTACAGGTACAGGTACAGGTACAGGCGGTGTCACTGCTGCTGAGACGGTACTACCTCGAGTGCCCAAGGCAGTACCTACCCAATACTACTTCCTCAATAATCGTAGGAGCACCACCAAAGCAGCCAGCCAGTGTAACATCAGATGCAATGCGACTGAAACCCCCCTCGCCATGCTGCAGGCTGTTCTTGATGGCACAGACGTGTCTTGTTCTCGTTCGGCTTCCGGCTTGGCAGGCATCGAGACAACTGTATGTATGTATATATATATATATTTATTACTGCTTACAAGGATTGGCCCAGCACAGGCATTCCCTCAACGCTGTTCAGTATAGACGGCGTACAAGGCATTGAAGGTTGTACGAATCTCCGGCGCCAGAACGTAGAATGGTTATACCTACAGTAGTAATTGCAGGAAACCCTAACAGCTACCAAGTGCGGCTCAACTCCTTGGCAAGATATTGACAAGTAGACCAAGCCAGAGAGAGGCCACCGAGAGAAAGAAAGAGACAACATCAAGCCTCATTCTTATACATACCTACCTACCTAGGTACATGTAGAGAGATGAAGTCCCTGGTTGGTGGACTTGCACAAGCCCGAGCCCGAGAATGCAAGTCGGGTGTCATTGGATCCCTCCCAGCAACAGCGTTACAGCGTCACAGCGCCAGCAGGCATCCAGGGCCGGGTAAGTAATTGGTGGCATATGCAGCAGAGACACGTCGCTGGACATGCATGCAAGGTCGTGTGTAATACAGCCCTGGTGAATGGAGTTGCCTATGTAACAGTAATAACAGAAGACGGCGTGTATCACAGGGAGCATCATGTACAATCATGTAAGTCAGTACCTTATGTACCTCCTGATGCACCTTCAGGTAAGCAGCACTAAAGAACGACATCGGAGAGATTTTCAACCTCCGTCTTACTACTCACTCATTATCAGCTCTTGTTCCAAGGATCCTCCAAGGGACGCCAAGGATGCTATAATTGGCAACGAAAAGCCCGAACCCCGAATACATGGGATTGATCGTCAACCTTTTTTTCTAGAGTTAATTCAGCGGAGCCAGTTCCCGCAAACGATGCTTGCTATAAATAGGTAGGTAGCTTGTTATCATCACCTCGAGTCTAACTATAAGATACCGAGGTATATAGTTAATGAAGCGACTTGTATAGAGTATCACAAGAGAGTTGAACCTCATCATCAAAGAGGGAAGATATATTTCGTATTCTATGCTGTAACCAATCTAATAGCTCGATGATAAAAGAAAGACAATATCGTGTTCTGTGCTGTATCCAATCTAATAGCTCGATGATTAAAGAAAGACAATATCGTGTTCTATGCTGTATCCAATCTATAGCTCAATAACAAAAGAAAGACATAACTCGTGTTCTATGCTGTTGTTCCCATGCCGTGTATGCATATCCCCAGTCAACCTCATCCGTGTATCATGAAATCCCAAAAACTCAACCACTCCATATATACAAAACATTCCCTCCATATACAAATCTCTTCAATCCTCCCTCCCACATCATCACCATCATCATCACCACTTCAAAGAGGCGCCCCAACCCCAATGGTCAAAACCTTTGGGTCCCCATCATTCAAAAACCCACTCTGGTCCTCGCCCCCCGTCTTGCCAACATCATCATACGGAAACGCATAACCCCTCCCCCCAATGCTCACCTCATGACACACCCGCGAGTAGTGGTTCGTCACCGGATCCAGATAATACTCACTAACATCGTCCCCCTCCGGGTGCGGCCCGTCCAGCAACAAAGTGCTCCTGTTGAGCGCCGCCGCCAGCCTCGCCCCGACGTTGAGCTGCTTCGGCGACACGTCCTCACCGCCGGCAAACGGACCGGTGCTGCACGAAAAGATGTCCGCCGCCGAGGGCTTCGCAAACGTGCCGCCGCCGTTGGAAAACACCAGCTTCTCCCCGGAGGCGTCGACCCTGCCCACGGCATCGCCCCAGTCGGCAAACTGCATGTTCACCACCACGTCCTCGCTCTTGTACCGCGTCCACACGGCGTCCACGTACCCGTCGTAGTACCCGTCAAACAGGCCGGGGAACATGACGCCGCCCGCGTTCGGGCTCAGCGCCCTCAGGTTCGCCTTGCCGTCCGCCGTCTTGACCACCAGCTTCTCCCACCCTTTGCCGTCCTTGGCCCCCTGCGCAGTCAACTTGTCGCACACCTCGTCCAGCCCCCCGGCCGGCATGCCCTCCACGCTCCTGACTTCCCCCTTTCCGTTCTCCAGCCGCAGCGACACCGGCACGCTGAAGAAATCCACGTACGAGACGTTGACGTACAGCTCCGCCTCGTTGAGCGTCAGCTCCGCAAACGCCCACTTGACGTTGTAGTTCTTGTCCGCCGGGTTCGTCGCCGACGGCTCGACCACGGCCGGGCCCGGGTTCAGCAGAAACGTCAGCGGCGCGTCCAGGCCGAACCACACCCGCGCGCCGGCCAGCCGCGGAATCGTCAGCGTCCGGCTCTGGCCCGGCCCGCCGACCGCCACGGCGCAGTCCTGGCCCAGCGGCTGCAGCGTGGCCGACGGCGAGGGCGGGTAGTACGGCGTGACGCCGTCGGCGCTGAGGAAGAAGAGGCCCGAGTCCGCGGTGCCCGTCACGTAGGCGTACAGCTGGGCCGCCGTCGAGTTGTTTTGGACGACGATGCTGAGCGTGGTGGGCGTCATGTTGGTGGTGGTGTTGCAATCAGATGGTATACAAGGTGTGTAGTATCAGTCTCGGAGTAACAATAGTCTTTTGTAGATGGGAAAAGCTCTGGTCAGGTAGTTGTTTATGTAGAATAGAATACTGGGTAGATGGGTTGTCATGTCCAGGTGAGGTCAATTTGAACAAGAGTCCAGTCTGGCAGAAACAAGCCTCGACTTATATACTTTGCCTTTTTCTTCGGGATCGACGACACCAAACACACACACACTGCACACATACACACGCGCACAGCCGCATAAACAATCATCATCATCATCAGCATCAACCACCACCACCATCACCCACCATCATCGCCCTCATGCACCATCATCGACCATCATCATCAACCATCATCCACCACCATCCACCATCATGCCACACCCATCCATGCCTCCTCCTCCTCCTCCTCCTTCATGCGCCCATCATCCGCCTCGTCCAGCCGCATTCCATCCTGCAAGACAGACAGATCCAGCTGCTTGGTCGCCGGTGGGCCGCATGACCGCATCGTGCATCTGACCATCGGCATCCCAGCCTCGCCTCGACCCAAACAGGTAACTCCATCGACGGCCAAGGCCTTCCAAGCCACGTTCCAGCAGATGGGCGGCAGATGGCCCAAACACATGCAATCATGCATAAACTTCTTTATTGCTCCTCGACTCGTCATCTCCATTACCAGTAGGTAATATGTGCTAACAGCTATCAGGCCCAATTACAGTACGCGCAATCACATGCACAGTCACACCCTCTGTCGCCGGCCTCGTCCCTCATCAGACTCCCCAAAACTCCAATTCTGCAACCGAAAAGTCCCAGACACACACAAAAGTCAGCCTCGTCACCGCATTCCAGCCCTCGTCACAAGAGGTCTCATCCACCACAGTATCCCGGCCAAGAAGCGCATTCACGAGTATACCATCAGCACCACCATCGACAGCAACACGGCCGCCATTGTCGGCGTGCTGCTCAGGTGCACCGCACTGCTATCGCTGCCGCTGTCGTCTGCCCCTCCGCCGCCGCTGCTGCTTGGCTGGTTGGGATCGCTCGTGTTGAAAAAGGTGCCGCCCGTGCTTGCATTTGACGCCGTCACGTCTGGAATCCGACACACCCTCCCGTTGCCGCCGCTGTCTGCATCGTCATCGCGCGCCTTTTGGCAGGCCTCGGCAAAGGTCGACTGCAGTTGCGCGTCGGACGAGTTGAAGTAGGCCTTGACGTAGCTGACGGTCATGACGGCATCCTGTTTCGGAGGGCCTCCCGACCACTTGGAGTTGCCGTTGCTCCAGTGCTGCAGAATAACGTGGCCGGGGCCCGAGGGCACCGACGTCCCGTTCATCTCGGCCAACAACTTGCTGTCGGCATAGAACAGGACCCGGTTGTGCAGGTAGTCAAAGCGATACTCGTGGAAGCCCTCGGTGGGATCAAACGTGAGGTTGACCACCTTGAAGGTGCCCGTCTTGGACGCATCGTAGCCCGCCTGCCGCGACGCCTCCGACTGGATGACGAGGTTGACGGGATACAGCTTCTTGCTGGCGTCAAACTCGCGCGACAGAAACTCCATGTCAATCTCTTGGGTGTCATTGAAGTACTAGGTTAGGTAGCCAGGGCGTCAGCATAAACTCCAACGTCTCTAGATGAAACAGCCGACTGTCACAACACAAGATACAACGCACCCAGAAAAAGGCCGCGCAGGTGCCGTTGACGGGCGTCAGCTTCATGCCCGCGCGATACGAGCCAAAGAACATGTCCTTCCTCGCCGACGCCAGCTCCGCCACCGGAACCGCCTCGTCGTCCACCAGCGTGCTGCCCACCACCAGCGCGATGCCCTCGCCAGGCCCGGCATCCGCGTCGTCGACGCTCTCGCCGTGGCCGTCGGCAGCAACCGTGTAGACGTTCTGGACGGCAAACGCCTTGCCGTACTCGCCCCGGCCAGCCCGCGCCGAGACATTGTACTGCTGCCGCTTCCAGTTGCCGTCCCGCGAGATGTTTCGCAGCTCAAAGAACTTGCTCTCCATCATGTTGGTGAACAGCAGGCGGCCGTCTGCGCTTCCATCTTTGCCTCCAGCCCCCTCTGCCGGAGGAAGGTCTTGGACAAAGCCGCATTCGCAGTCTGCCGCCACCAAGCACGACAGTAAGGCCAGCAAGAGGACCAGCCATGGGCCCAAGCCTGGTAAACAAGACATGGTGAGTTGTTTTGTTGGGAGTATATCAGAGAGCAAATCTTGTCGGTCGTGAGCAATCGGAGTATTGAGAGCAAAAGTATGATGATGAGAAGCAAAGAATAAATAGAAAACACGAGATGAAGGCAAAGCCACGAAGGAGGAGAAGCGCAAGAGACGCAGATGAGGCAAAAGCAGAAGCAGAAGCAGAAGCAGAAGCAGAAGCAGAAGCAAATGAGGAAAGCAAGACGCCAGAGCAGCACAAAAGCAAGCAAGCAAGTCAACCGCACCGAAACCTCCTCAAACCCGAACCCGAACCCAATTCTCAGTACCGAGAGAAAGAATGATTCGACAAGAGCAGCATGAGCAACCCGATCCAGTGCCGGCGCGACGACACGCAGCTGCTGCAGCAACACGACAAAGTCCAAATAGCCTCAAGCAAAGGGTCAGGAACGAGGCAGTCAAGGTGTGTGTGTGTTGCGTGTGAGAGAGAGTTTCGGTGTACAGAGATGTTGTGTACAAGCAGACGGGCACACACACACACACAGAGAGAGAGAGAGAGAGAGCGCGAGACCGAGTACACGATGCAAGGTGACTGACTGACTGACTGACTTCCGCCGGGAGGAAGCAGAAAATGGAGACGAGAAAAAGAACAGCCTCTGGGCTCTAGTACAGGTTACACCCGGTCCTACAAGAGGCTCGCGCGTTGCCTCCTCCTCTCTCTCACCCATCCTTGCATGCTTTTTTTTTTTTTTTTTTTTTTTTTTTTCTTCTTTTCTTTCCACTAAGGCACGCACCTTAGTACTTAAGATATATACAAGGCTCCCTCGTCCAACTGTTGCCTCATTCTACTGTTGCTTGCTGAGTGCATCATCAGCATGGAGTTTACCTACCTACACATCATTCAACCCAACACCATCCACCACCAACCTCTCCAACCTCGTCTCACTCACACCCTCTACCCCCGCCTTCATCACCAAACAGCAAGCAAAAAAAAAAAGAAAAAAAAAAAAAAAAAAAACAGTAACCGTAACAGCACATAAAAGAAGAGGGGAAAAAGCCACAGCCGTTGGCGTGTCACCACATTCTCTCACCACCTTTTCCTCTCTCCTCCAAGCTTCTTCTCTCCATCGGATGACACCCAAGAAACCAGTCCTACTGCTACTTCACACGCTGTTGCTTCACCACAGCATCGGACAAGACATATTGCGATGGCGACACAGAATCTTCATCATCTTCTTCTTCTTCTCATTCTCTTTGGCTGTCAGCTTACCACAACAGAATCTATAGTACTACTACTACTACTACTACTACCAAGTCTAAAAAACGCATGCATGGCCCGTTTCCGAAGAGCCAAGCTTTTCTCTCTCTCCGTCGCGATTCATGTCTTATTCCCCTTCCTTTTACCAGTTAACAATCTCACCCATTGGCCCAACCATTCTTGGACATTGTCACTGCTTTCAATCTAGTAGCACAGTCACATTGCATCTACATACTACTACCTGCATTCTCCTCTCCTCCATGCAGCATACCAAATACTACCTACCTAAATAGGCAGCACATGTCTCCCCGTAAGGTATCTTCGAATACGTGGCTTCACAAGCCAGCACATCACATCACAGGCCACCGACTCCTCATTTGACAGAGACAATAATTATTTCGCATTGTAGTACTAGACTATTCTATACACACCGAAGAGCGGCATACACGGCATCCCGTCCAGAAACGAGGCCTGTCATACCGTAGCATCCCTCCGTAGCATACCTTGACCAAGTCGAAAAGGGAAAAAAAAAAAGCAAGACACGGCACAAAAAGACAAAAAGCGTTGACGAAGATACCAGGTTCAGAGCACACAGTTTCAAAGAGGAGAAATGAGAGAAGAGGAGTATTGAAGAGTGAATGGAGAAAGAAAGTAAAAAGAGTTCAATGAGGAATAGCAATCTGTATATCGAACAAGGTATCTGAGAATTTGGAAAGTTGCCAAGTGTAAATCAGACTGCGATCCCAATGAAAAGCGACAGCCAACAAGCAAGCGGACCACGAGAGTAGAAGAAGGAAGGAAAAGAAAAGAAAAGGAAAAGGAAAGAAGAGGGGGGAAATGATTATCAAAGTAGAATGTAAAAAGGGGGCCACGAATGGACCATTAGAAACCAAGAAAAGCAGAGATTGCGAAAAAGGCGGCATCGCCATCATGGACCAGCCAATCAACCTGCCCTCACTGTTCATTAGCTTGCGCTGCCGATGTGTCGAGATCCAAAATAATCCCTCTCGGGGCCGAAATCATGCGAAACGTCCAAAGTCCTTTATCCCGCCGGTATTTCCCTGCTTTCGCCGCCTCTCCAGTATTATCCCCCCATGATCTTTCCGATCGGACCCATGCAAAACGAAAAGAGCAAATGCAAGCCAAAGCAGAAATTAAGCTCAGTAACGCAAGACTAACACGACAAACGAGCACCTGCTCTGTCTCAGGAGCCGTCAAGGAAACAACATGAGAAACCAAGGAAAGAGAAAAGACAAAACTTCCAGAGAGAAAGGAGATGGAGCCAAACAGACAATGAAACAAAAAAAGGGAGGGGTACTTTCCCAGTATTAACCTTACTCCTGTCCGAAACCGCACGCGCCACAAGTTAAAAGTTTGACAAGTAAGAAAATCCGACCAAGAGGAGAAGCAAGAGAAAGAAACAGGACGAAAAAGAGAGCCATGAGTATCAAGTTGTGCGTTAGGAAAAGCCGGCGCGTGTCTGAGCGCTCCCCTGGTAGAAGATGAACAGAAAGAAGAAAAGATCGTTTCGTCGTCGCAATATTGTTAGTACACGCTGTCCTCGTCTGCTCCCTGCGATGTCATCGAGGGAGTCGACACATTAGAGGACGCTTCGTCGCCGACATAGCCGACAAGGGCTTCTGAGTGCAACTTGAATGATTCGCCCATGAGGCGCGTGATTCTGTCAAAATTTTGATTAGCACACTCTTGCGCAAACGGTAGAGGGAAGAGAGGGGGAGAAAACATACCCCCACACGACAACCTCGTCCAACATGGACCCCCAGAGACGGGCAACCACCGAGCTCAGGTTGGCAATGATGTTCTCGTCAAAGTCCTTGATGAAGAGCTGGCGGACCTTGTAGTACATGGCCACCTCCTCCGGCGTCGCGGGCTCTTCGTCGTGTTCCAGGCGATAGAGCCACAGCGTGAGGATGATCATCAGGTCCAGGCCGCACAGAGGGTGCTCGACGCTCCAGTTGGTCGACGAGGTGCGCGCCACCCAGCGGACGCCCTGGACCACGGCCGTCTCGAGGCAGTTGTAGCACTCTTCAATCACCTTGATCATCTCGCTCGAGCGCTTGACGCGGTCCCGGGCGTGGGACATGGCGGCGGCCACTTCGTACGGCTCGTGGTAGCGCAGGGCCTCCTGCACAGTCTTGAGGTCGACCTCAAGCCGGGCGCGGGCGTTACGATACATGGCGCGGGCATTGAAGATCAGGGGGTGGCCCTTGTGGGGAGCGTTGAGGGGCACCACGACAGACTCCTGCTCGCACAGGTCCAGCGATTTCTCCCACGTCTCCAGCGCGAGTCTAAGCTTGTACTCGGTCACGACATCCTGCAGGGCCTCAGGGCTACGTTTGTGGTACCATACTTCGAGGAACAAGGCATTGATCATGACACGGGTGGAGAAGGCGCTGTACTTGAGCGTCTCGCCCTGGAACAGCTTGTCGTGGGCTTCCATGAAGATGACGGCGGGCGACTTCTCCAGCTGCTCGACCCACGCGGCCTCGTCGGCGACCTGCATGTTCCACATGGCCTCCGTCGAAGGAAGCTGCAGGTCCTCAAACTCGTTGAAGCCAATGGCGGGCGTGTGGTTGAACGTCAGCGTCAGCAGGCCAAAGAAGATGTAGACGGCATAGTAGGTGCGGCGGCAGCCCTCGTCCTCGACCCACTCGGCACGAGTAGGCTTGGCCGTGCCGCGTGCCTCCTGGCGGAGCTTGAGTTCGTAGCGGTTTCCGGCCACCATGTTGGCGAGCAGGCTCTTGATGGAGCATGCCCACTCCAGGCCCTTGGGGTCGCCGCTCCAGCTGGCGAAGATCATGTTGAGCAGCGAGCTTTGCATGGTCCACAGGGGACACTTGCGGGAGCTAAAGTTCTCCTTGTTCTGGAGAAACTGGTTGACGAGCACCTTGGATCCGATGTGGAGCATGTACGCCTGGTCCTGGTCAAAGGCGTAGAGGGCGCCAATGCTCAGGACGGCCAACAGCAGCGGCGGCGACACCTGAGACGGGCTGAAGGAGGCAGGGTGCAGAAAGGGCAGGTGGTGATGGAACAGCCCAAAGTACGTGGCCAGATAACGGTTCAGAGAGCCGAGGCCAGGCAGGCGGAAGCTCTCGGGAATGGCGTGCTCACGGTCAGAGTTTCGAATGTTGTCGAGAATGGCGTTTCGCTCGTCGTCGCCCGAAACCTGAGGGGCCCTGAAGCCGGCCTGTTGAGAGTCGACTGCAGAGGGCGATCGAGGGGCCGGGACCTCTGAGCCAGGGGCCGGAAGCGAGTTCATCATGGATTGGAGAGCGGGCACGAGGCCATTGGTGTTTCGACCAGTAAAGGGAGGCAGCTGGCCGGCATGATGCTGCAGTCTCGACGACTCGAAAGAGCCAGAGGCGCTCGAGGTGATGGAGTGCGGCTTGGGCTCGGCCATGAAATTGTCCCACTGGACCTGGGGAAGGGCGATGGCGCCGGATGGGTACGTGACAGCAGGCTCCATGACGGTAGAGCTTCGCGGAGAGAAGGCCATGGACGCGCCGTCCTCGTAGGATCCGTCATCTCCGCGCATGGCCGCAGTGGCCTTGTTGTGCAAGTCGGCGACGAGCATGGCGGCGGCTTCCACGTCGAAAATGCCGTCGCCGCCAGCCTCCATCTGCTCCAAGGTGGACGTGTCGAGGGTGATTGACGACTTGGGGGGGCCGCCGATGGCTCGAGTCTTGGGTCCAGCGCGACGCTTGCCGTCGCTGTGAAGGGGGACGCCGCCATCCTTGGCGTGGACTGTGCGATCATGTCTCAGCAGAAGGTCGCGGCGCACAAAGGTGCTTCTGCACTTCATGCACTTGAAAGGACGCTCCTTTGTGTCTAAGAGGATGAAGTTAGCAAGAGGGGCGCATTGAGGAGAAGGCGAGGGAGATGAAGATGCTCTCGAGATTTCCCAGCTGTCGTTTTATTCATTCTTCGCTCTTCGTTCCAACACGCGAGAAGGCACGCCGCCCAAAAGGTATGAAAATCTTTGATGGAAGAAAAGAAAGAAAAAAAAGACATACGTGATCGCTCATGGCGGCTTCGATGTTCGCTTCGGCTGAAGGCTCTGTTGCAGAACTGGCACTTGTATTTGCGTTCTGGTGCGAGAGACGCCTTCCGCGAGGAGGGTGTCGAGGCCGCTGGAGGCGGGAGAACTGCGACGCTGGCGCCGGGCATTGTGGGCGAGTCGCGTGCTGTGTGTGTGTGATGGGGTGGTGAAGACGGGTGTTGTGTGTTTGTTGTGCGCTGACGCGACGCTCGGCTCTGCCGGCTGGGGCGGACGCAACGATGGTTGAATATCGTGCTCGGGTGGTGGTTTGCGGGTTGACTCGTTCTCTCGTGCTCTCGCTCTCGACTCCTGGCTCCTCGCTCGCACGCGCGCCCGTGGGGTTTAAAGTGTGACTGCGGTGGCGTCGATGGTGATGCTGCTCATTGGAAGATACGGTATTCTAGTCATGGAAAGGTTCTAAGAATGTGGTCTGACGAGGGCAGAGGCTCCTGGGCGGCCTCGCTGTGATGGGATATTCGGGGGGGTTGACGATGCCGCGAGTTGATGCAGTGTCTGTCTCTCTGGGGGGGCGCAACGAAGGTGGTGGCAGATGGAGAGGGGAGAGGCGGGTTAAGAGGGAGAGGCGGCAGTACGAGTAAATGAAGGAAGACGGCGGGAGGGGGGAGGGGAAACGGTCCAATTCGGGGGACGCGGACAGCAAGCCACGACTAGGGGGGTAAGAATCTTGGGAGGGGTGGGTGCGCAGAAGGAGGGGGGAAACAAGCAGCGAGGTACAGAGGGGAGAGGGGGGGAGTGAGGGCACTGCGAAGTACCTGAAAAAGAGAAAAGAAAAAAAAAAACGGGTAAAGAAGAAAAAAAGAGGGATGGATGGAGGGGGAGGGGGAGGCGAATGGCGCTGTTTGTCTCTGAAGCGCAGCGCTCGACTCTTGGGCGCGGGTCCGCTTGGGTTAACACCCGGCTGTGCGTGTGCGCTAGCAGCTGGCGACGGGTGCGAGGGCTGCGGGCATCAGGTACCGGTACCGGTATCAGTACCAGTGCCAGTACGCTTCAAAGGCCGCCCCGAGCAGCGACATGCCAGACACAGCGACAACATGTGGACGAGGAGGTATGTACTTCTGCCGCCATCGCATGCAGCGCCGGTACAAGTACGGACTGGACCACTTGAAAGTCGACAGGCTCGGCCTGGCCAAGGTTCAAGCGACCACGGAGCCCACATCAGCCCAAGGCTCAAACACGACACGGCGGCGGCGGCCTGGTGCTGCGCTGGCCACCGACGCTTAGCATTGAGGTATCCTACCCATGGTACCAACTTGAAGTGCCTCCAGCGGGGGGTCCCGTCAGCGCAAGAGGGGCGAAGCTCGGGGCGGCCCCTCAGCGATTCGATGTGCTGGAGCCCCTCCAAGGCCACTGACACTCGCGCTGTGGGAGCACCGGCTAAGGTGGCAGGCAGGGGGAGCGCAGGGGGAGGGGGGGCTGTTGGTCCTTGGGATTGAAGGGTACCGGTACCTGAGCGCAAGCTGGCATTGAGGCCCTGCCCCGCCATTGGCCCGCCGTAAGGTACCTTAGCTCGCAGCTGGAGCTCTTGCGCCGTCGCGGCTCAAGGCTCTGGTTGCCGGAGTTCTCACGCTTCACAGGACTCGTACAAGTACTCGTAGGAGTACTTGGACTAGGACCGGAATGACACCACCAGCTTTGCCGCCCACGGGTGCCATTTCCTTCTCCGAGCCCACTCCAAACCGCTGCTTGTGTACATGTAAGTACATTGTAGGTATGCATGTACTCATAAAGCCCAGGTATGGCGGATTCGATGCAGCCCACCGTGATGCAACGTCCTCATTTTTACGTCTGTCATAGGTAGGGAGTAATGGGCTCCCAGCACATTTTGATGCGCTTTCTAGAGATGCCTGAGGCGAGGTGTTTTGATGATTTCAAGGTTACCTGCACCAGTACCTGAAAACGCCCACGCCACGCCACGTACATGTAAGGTACCTTACCTTCAATTACCTTGGATGAAAAAGCAAAGAGAGAAAACAGCACACAACTGCAGTGCCACCATCCAAGAACGCGGCACTGCAAGACACTGGCCCGAATGGCCTCCGTGCGCAAGAAGCAGAAAAGCAAGAAAGAAAAAAAAGAAAGAAAAGGAAATAAAGGCCACGCCTGAGTCGCGGGACAAGCAAGGGAGAGCAGGTGGACGTCAGGCACACCCGACGCCATGCCGACCACTTCAGTCCCCGATGAAACTCGTACAGGGTACTTTTCGAGTACCGGTACTTTCGACATCAGCGACTTGGACCTGCATCCTCCATCCTCCGCCTGTCCGCCCACTCGCTCCTGCCCCGCTGCGTTTTCGAACTTCATGTTCCTTCTATCGAGTCTCTCTCATAAGGCGTCTTCCACTTGACTTCTTCTCCTTCTTCTTCTTCTTCTTCTTCCTCCTTGTTCGCTTGGTCGCTTTTCATCTTTCTTCTTTTCAACCTGGCCTCGTGTGCCTTCAAGATATTCAGGAATCATCTGCACCATCGGATTTGCTCGCTTCTCCCCGCCTCTCCCTCAGCTCAGCTCCCACGCCAGGCGGCCTCAGATCATGTCCCGCATGTTCCAGCACCCATTGATTCGCTGTCCGCGCATGCTGGGGCATGAATGATGGGCTGCAAGTCCGTCTGTCCTCAATGCCAACACCCTGGACCTGGAGCGCGCAGCTTGCAGCTTGCAGCCTGTCCCCCAGGTACCGCACATTAGTACTCGTACTTGTGTCATGGACTGCACCTCCAGTCAAGAGACCCCCACCGCCGGAGTCTGGCGACAGTCGGTCAGCACAGCTTCCATGCGCCTCGCTGCTGGCGGCGTCAAGGAGGGAGATCATTGAAGGCGATGAGTTGTCCTTTTTTTTGCTTCGTGCAACCTGGATGCATCACGAGAACAGCCATCGCCTAGCTGGCCTTGCCAGCACCATCGTCTGTTGTTGGCTTCTGGCCGAACGACCCACTCCCTCCCTCCCTGATTCTCCTCTCCCTTCTACGGCTACCGACACTGACCAGAAGAGACGATTGAGCAGTCACGCGCAAGACGGCAGGGATGCTGGCTGTCCGGTTCGCAGACGAGAAACGTGGAATGTCGCCGCCAGCGCTGCTCCATTACTGGTACCAAGTCCCGCAGCAATAGTACGAGTACAGTAACGGTACCTGGGTGCGAGCTCGCCCATGATACGAGTAAGCTGGATCGGACGTTGTAGGAATCCATCGCTGTCGCCCGGGACGACCGCCACGCCTCGCAGCAGGCCCAATATGGCAAGTCTCCGCCAGACCTGATGCTGGCATTACCACTTTGTGAGGTGGATATATTAAGACGGCCAGCGCCAGGTGCTTGTGCTAGTCATACTGGTGCCCACTTCCAACGTCTCCCTGGGCGACGCCAATGCCTCGGATTCCATGGACTTGCAGTAATACCAGGCTGAACGTCTGAAAAGTCCAAATGCCGGCAGGACAGGAGACGCGATCGTTTGAGCCCTGTTCCACTTCAAGGCATCGAGGTGGACGCAGGTAATAGTACCGTACCTGTGCCGGCAATGCGCCCAAGCTAACCAAGGTCCGGCGCGCGTCATGATGGGGAGCGACGAGGGCAATGAGCACCTGGTCTCATAGCATCGGTCCTGGGTTCTCATTTCACACGAGGCCGCTCTTGCATCTGGCGACCCACCCCAACCCGCCGCGGGCGCCATGTCCGAGCTTGGGAGCTGAGAATGCACTACGACTGTACTTACATCGTGACGACCACGACCTGGGCGACCCTTGAAGGGTCTGGTGGCATCGAACTAGCTCTCGTCTTGGAAAACACGCATCACACTGTATCAACCGTTGCACACCGCTCATTGAACACAGTCTGGGCCTGGACATCGTTACTGTCGGCATCGAGTACAAGATACGTTCGGAAGCCCAGTCAAGCCCGTACTGCTCCCTCATCTGCCTCAACTGGCTCCTGGTCTGGGACTTGATCGTCTTCTCCAAGTATTATGCCTGTTGCATGCTGTATGCTGTACGGATGACTCGCTGTCCAAGTGTACCGGACGGGCAGCTCTATCGAGATCTGGCGACTCACCTTTCTAGAAGCGCCAGGCAAGCCAGACCAAGGATCAACGGAGGCACACTGACAGGGGCTGCAAGGTCTACACGCCTCCGTATCCAAGCACCTGTACGGAGTGATAGTCCTACATTGCTTTGGCAGCGGTCTGTTTAGGTGAGAATGAAGCTCCCATGGCCACCCAAGCAGCACTACCTCGAAGGCGAGTGCAAGACCTTGCTGGCGCTAGGTGCCTACGCAGGGCATGCGGTATGTCCACGCTCGCCAGAGCGATGCAATCCTGCCTGACAGGCGCCGTCAAGGGCAGTCGGTGTCTGCCACTCTGGAAAGTACGGGATCAGTTTGCATGCGTTTCACGGTTCTCTACGGTACATCGGTACTACTAGTGCTAAAAGACAGAGAGGGACGCACTCACGCATAAAGGAGACAGGGACGGCGTTGAAACTTGAACCCCTTCTTCCATTCCGTGTCCACCAGGGCGCTTCTCTCCGTGTTCCGTGCTTGTACACGTACGGAGTATGTACGGGATAAGAAGCTACTAAGAAACTGGACAGGGGCCTGTGCAGATGCACGCATGCGCGCCTGGTTGGAGTTGGAAGTATCGTTACTTGCGCTCGCTCTATCCAAGGGGTCGGCCATCTCATGGCGTCCATTCAGCCAGACTGGCGGTGATGGGGGTCATCCACCGCTTACGAGAAGCCCTCACGGCGGCTGCAGTAAACAGTTGCAGCAGACCGCCACTCAGCCAGGCTCTCGTATAAAGTCTGTCATCATCCCAAGCCTTCGTTACGATGGTTTCTTTACGATGGGAAGCGGTTTCAGGTGCCCAACGACTTGGCGTGCAAGCCAGATAATACAGGTCAACGTTTGGGTGCTCCTGGTGGCGACGTTGCTTCCTCCGAGCCGTGGCGTCTCTGCACGATGATGATTCGAGACTGGGGCAGACACCATCATGAGCGTTGCTGATGTTATGTTGCAGGTCCAAGCGTCCAGTACGAATAATTCAACTACTGTACCTTGCGTGCCTGCAAGGTAAGATCGCCGTCTTACTGTCCCGTCTCTTTGACTCCCCACTCTCCTCTGGCTG